AACCCCAAAACCCGTGCACACGATTTTATTGCCCGGTTTTCTGCGCAACTGGGCCCAAATCATTATCGAATCGGTGGTGAATATTTACGATCGCCGGCATCGCGGCATCGAAATCACAGTCCACATAATCACGCGCTAATAACTGCGATAACTTGACCACAAGACGGGCTACCGAATTCTCCGATAGGATGAGCCACCATTACCGATCAGGCACGGCACCACCCATTCTCCCGACCACCCAACCACCCAACCACCCACCGCCCTTCGATCAACCCATGCGCGTTTATTAATTAGAATTTATGGTCCGGCTATTGCCGCGTCCATATAGAGACAATAAATAGCCATTGTATATGTTTCCCGAACTCCCCTATCTTATCGTCCCGGCTTCAGCTCTTCAGTTCCTCAGTTCTTCAAACGGGCTTTCGACAGGTGAAGAGTGCTCCCTATCGCCCAGGAGCGGTCGTCGCACCAGATCCGAGTTGATTAACTCAGGCAATTATTTATCTCGAAGGGTTCCGATGAGTGTGGAAGACAGCCAACTTCTGTTTCTATTTATCTCTAGTATTTAAAGAGCATTCGCATTCAAATTTAAATTTATTTCAGATAAATATTTATCTCGATAGTAAAACTCCTACAATGTAGAATAAAACATTATTGATAATATATTATATATTATTATACTTTAACACCAGAAAGATCTTAGCAAAATGCGAGCTATAATGAGCAATTTATTTTCGAGCCTGAACCGCTCCTGAAACCTGCCACACGCCCACGGGCAATTGGGGATTTGAAGCACGGGCCGGATCGCCAGATCGCCAAGTGCCACGCCCACCTGCCACCCACCTGTTGCTGGTGCTTCTTCTTCTCGCGGTTATCTTGTCCCATGGAATTGGCAAAAGGTAAAAGGCAGAAACGAATCTGGCCAAAATGAGTTAACAAAAAGTGGCAGGAAAATAAAAAATGAAATAAAAAAAAATAAAATATATAATAATGCGGCTGGGAGGGAATGATAGCTCTATCTCTGTCCGATTATTTACAGTTAGCTCCGGCCAGGCGATAACCTTGCCCACATATATCTTGGCCAGCTCTTGGACCGCCATTTGCGATTACCTGCTAGCGACGGCGACTGCGACGCCAGCAGCGACGTCGACGTCGACAGCGACGCCTGCCACTAATCACTCCAATTAGCTAGAAAGTGCTTTTCGTTTTAAATTCGCACGTTGTCGCAGTTTCTTGGCATTGTACTGCGAGGCTCTGAGACAGCCACTTGGCCATTTGGAGTTCCCTTCCTTGGTTTAGGCCATTATACCCAGTCGAAGTTCGAGATTCAAGATTCAAGTATTCAAGTATTCAAGTATTCAAGATTCAAGTTACGTGTACCCATCCGAAGGAGCCGCATTTTTTTTCACCCCGGCATACAAAACTGTGAGTGTGTTAACCAGTGAAGATCCTAAAAAGTCCCATTTGAATCAAATAAAAACGCATAAATACAATACAACCAAGTTGAACAAAAGCGAATGAGAGAAACAAAACCCACATTACAAATAACCAAATTCGAATGCAGAAAAAATAACAAATTGAAACAAATTGTAGTATGTAGCAATAAAAATCAAAACAAGACATTTGCAAACCGACAAACTTGAGTTACTCTATAAAAACTATACAACTCGTTGAACAAGTGCTATAAAGTATACAGTTTAAGGTTTTCCACTGGCATACAAATAATGCCATAGATTTTTTTTGTAATTGCGGAAACTGAAACAGTTCCGCATGTCAGGTTTAAGTTTTAAGTCTTGTGCAGAAATATTTAGTTTGGTTTAAGGTTACAGTTTAAACGTTTTAATTTGCCAAATTATAAGTTACCAAAAACGGTGTTAAGTTTTATGTCCAACATTTACTTGTAACCAAAAATGTGAAAAGTCAATTTATTATTATTTTTAATATTTTACAAATATTTTTGAAACCAATTGAGAAAAATGTTTAAAAGTATTTTGCTCAATTTTCCAGTTGCCAGAAAGGTTTTAAGACTTTAAAAATATTTTTTAAACAAAATTTAATTTTTAAAAGGTTTTAATTAAATACAAAATGAAACAATCCTTTTCTACTGTAATTTCCGCCATTTAAATCTTTTGATTAACATTTCCTTAAAAAAAGCCTTTTAATTATCCTTACAAACTATAAGGACCCAAAAAATATGTAAAAAAGTATCCTTTATTCCAGTGATTTTATAATTCCAACAATATTTCAAATTCCCTAAGGGTATTTCTAAAAGGTGTTAAATTCGCTCAGACTTCTCGAACAAAAGAGGCAGCTTAGGTGAAGGGCCCCGTAGCAAAATGGAAATAATAAATAAGAGCGAGCGAATAACAAAAAACTTTTGGCACCAGCCAATTTGTAGGCCACTTAAGTCCCGATCTACGCGCGGCGAAGATAATGCAGATTGTCTATAGCCGATTTCGAAACGCGATGGAAAGGGAAATACGACGAGTCGTGTTGTGTTATGGAGTTCCCGACTTTGATGAGTGCGTTATTTCACTAGAATTCAATTATAATTGAAATGCTTTTTTTAATGACGTTTGGCGCGTGTCGTGTTTTTATATACACTCGTATATATAAAAAATGAACCCACACGCAGCCGCCATAAAAATCTTTGGCTCAAAAGTAGAGAACTGCCAATTGCCGACCAAATTAGGATAATAGATATATATATATATATTCTTTATATAATCGGTGGCGGCGTTTTCGATCTCATTCCAATGCAATTGGGGAAGTCCGCCGAAAGTATATCGGCTATCGGCAAATTAAAAAGCCGAAAACTACACGTGCTGGCCGAATATTCTGGCATGCCCAAATATATATACTATATAAGTCGACTTTTGCCAGCTGTTTGGCTTTAAGATAATTAGCATGATCCGACGTCGACTTTGTTGTGATGACGTCAGCCGATCCGATCGTGGTCGCCAGTAGCAAGTTCTTTATGAGCTCTATTAATTATGGCCAGGTTTTTGTGACTTCGTTTCTGGACTTTTTCGTAAATAATAAAAAACCGAAATGCCCGAACTACGTCGTATTATCTGACGCATTATCTGCGATAATAAACCAAACCGAACCAAACCGAATCGGACTCGAGCTCTGAATACATAGTCTCGTAATCGTAACAGATACTTAAACCCAATAATCGATTATTGTCCGGGTAAATTCCCTCTCAGCCCAGCCACTATTTCGCCGCCATACTATCTGTAAATATTAGATCACAGCCGGTGAACAACAATTGGGAGTCACTGTTCTCGTCTCTTCACGCTGCAAATTCAACTGTCATAACTCTAAGTCCCATATATTATGGCTACGAAGTCACATGCCGCACAGTGACGGACAAAAGTCAGTCGATTGTTATACAGTGACTGCTAAAATGTGAACTGCAGTCACCACTACAAGTCGTGTTTAAGCTATTTACTTAAGGGTTTCCTAATGAAACTATAAAAAAGTCACAGCTAACTTAGAAATATGGGTCTATATGTCTTACTCAGAGTTTAGAAGAAAACAAATAGGTGACACAATTGGGATTGCAGTTTTCACAACTAAATTGGAGCAATCATTCATAGTTAAGCCTCTACCTTAATCGTTTAATAAATTTAGTCCAAAACAATTACTGTTTACGTAGATAAAATGGGTTTCATAACAAATTTATAAATTAAATTTTAATATTTTTGTCACAAAGTTGAAACATCTTCCAAGATGTAAATACAACTTTAATTTAATGAATTGCCTAGAATAATGCCAACAAATATAAATAAATACATTGCCAATAAAGAACACAAATTAGCTAATAAATAATTACTTAAATTATGCACAGAATTTAAGGCCACCTTAACTTACTATTTACGAGTAAATTTTCAAGCTAGTCATAAAATATAAATGAAAAACTTTAATACCAAAGACGAGACACACTTTAGAGACAATCAATTACCTCTGCAGTTTTTAATAACACACATAAAAAAGGTACCAAGTTCTGGGAAAACTAATAATAATATTTTATTTAGTGACAGTTGCTCACGTGACTGTAAATCTTAATCACTAAGTTCGGCCATCGATATTTTTGGTCAATATCCTCATCTAATCTTTGGAGACGTTTCGTTTCTTTCGTTTTTTTTTTGTGTTACTTAGCATAAATGAATATTAATTTATGTAGAATTGTAAAAAGAAACCGCACCCGACGATCATCAACGGCATGATTATAAGTCATAAAGTTTTTAGCAATTTTATGCTAGAGTTTGGTTTATTTCTGTTAGCATTGTTATTATCGCTAATTTTTGTTGTTTTATTTCCTTTGAGAATTTCTATGCCAATGTCTGGCCATAAAAAGTTTACCCAATTTTTTTTTTTTATTATCATTACTGGTTTTTTTGTGAGTGTGTATTTTTTTGTTGTATTTTTTTATTGTGTCGTCAGGGGTTTCATTGTGTTTTGTCGCTTCAGTTGAGGGGCCTGAATAATAGTTTTGGATACCGCCTAATATGCAATTAATTGGACATGAACTTGAACTGCGGCCGGAAGGGGCTGCGGGGGATGTCAATTATAAACAATTAGACAATGGCAAAATTGGTAACCAACCGATGGGAACGCGGGCCAAATGAATGGGGAAGACTTTCGGCAGAATGTTTCTGAATCTCAAACAGATTCGCAATTGTTCCTGGGCTATAATATATAGTTATGTATGTATGCATATTAACTGTCAGCCAGTCAAGCAGTCAGTGCCATCAATTTGTCTACGAAATTTCCAACAATTATGGCCAGCTCCAGGCCATTTTCAATAACGAAAAATCTTTCTGTGTTGAAGTTATTAATTTTTGTTGTTTTTTATTGTTATTGTTATTACCTTTGTGGAATACATTCGTAAAATTGGGTGCTTTGCACATTCGCGTTTCAACAAAAAACAACAAATGGCCTTATAATCCGTCTAATGGTGTTACATGTCTTTCTTTCTGTTTCTCTCTTTGCAGGCAACATTTCTCTTGGTTTAATTGATTAACCAGGCCCAAATAAATACAAAAGGGAGCGGAGAACACAAAGAGCCAGCAAGATGACTGGTTTCACCAACGCCGGTTTCGAGAACGATGAGCCCGTCAAGGTGAGTGTTCCGTAGTGCCTTTTTGGGGTCTGGATCTGGGACTGAGTCTGAGTCTGGGTCCCAAGTAGTTCTCTCCCCGAGGAGTGCTTACCTGGTATTCCACCTTCCCATTCATCTTGAACAAGTGCTGGACACGTCAACGTACCCACAATGAAATCACCGCTAAACAAATCTTGTAAACAAAGGCAGGCGAAAAGAAATCACGAAATAAGGCTCATTATTTCAAGTTCTGCATAATTGAATAATAACTCTTCCTTAATTTTTTTACATTTAAAAGCACCAGGAAGTGTCATATCAGTTAGTTCTATTGGGTGTATCATCGCTCTTGCTAGAAAAGGGAAATCTTTTCCTGTTTATTTTGTATAGCTTATCGCAAGGCTTACAAATACTGAGTTTCATAAAAATAGCTGGCAAGGTTTCTTAGTTCCAATAGATTATCTAGATTTAGCTTAGCAGAGGGCATTATGGGTATTAAATAAATAAGTACCCAAAACCTTACACTTTCACTTAGAACATTAGTAGGTTAATTAGTTTACCAAGGGCAATTATAAATAATCAACTAGTATGCACGGATTTATCCCAACTGGTTTTTATATATCACCTCCCAGCATATAGGAAGTCTTTTCCATCAGTTAAGATTTAATTAAAGAAATAGCTTGACACTTTCTGCAAACTGTGGAGTGGAAATAGCCAACCTAACGATGCATTAGCACTTTTTCACACACCTGAATCCAGTTTCAATCGAACGGCTTGGGTATTTCCCGGGTTCGCATAGAACTTATCGATATGGCCATAAACGCTGCCACTTGAAAATTGTTGTCACACTCTCACAATGTTGGCCGTCTCGTTTTTGGCATTCATTCATGCATGGACGTTATAGCATTTGGCTATATAGCCATATAGCTTATAGGCTGGATTACACTTATCGAGTGTCTGGGGCCGCTTGTTTTGTATTTTTTTTCCTTTTTCGTTGTTTTGTATTGTATTGTTTTGATGTTGAAGTTAATGACTGTGTTTGCCTTCGCCAAAGAAATCATGTTTTATAATGACACGCGTCACAGTTTTTATGATTGGCCCTGTTGGGGAGGAAGTGTCCAATAAACCGAAAAACCCGGGCGAACTAAGCCAAAACTCGGATGGCGATAATTCCGATGATCATTAGCATTTGGCCACTCCTTGGCTTTTAATGAGGCGAAATAAATTTCACCTCAAGAAACCGAAATCCGAACATCGAACACCGAAATCCGAAAACCAAAAACCGAAAACCGAAGGCAAAAATTCGAAAAACTCATGCGAGAAGCAGAAAAGCAGAAAAAACAGAAAGGCAGAAAAAGAAATGTGACAGCAGAAAGCGCTCCCCACACAAATATTTATAGATATGTCTTAGCCACAAACTTGACCGGCCAGCTGATGGCCAAACGATTTGGCAATAAATAAGGTAACAGAAACAGCAACAGCAACAGAAACAGAGGAAACTGAAAAGAAAAAGCAAGGCAAACAAACAGCAACTAACGACAGAAAAACGTATTGCACAATTAAAGCACCGACAAGGTTTCATAATAAAATATTGCCAATTTACAATGGCCCCGCCCCCTCCCCCCTCCCCCAAAGAGGTTCGATACCCAGGCCCCACCCTGTAATCGGTTCTTGAGAGACATCGAAACCAAACTCGTTTTCCTCGCTTTGGTCAACACAGAACCGCAGCAGCCAAAAAAAAAATAATAATACAAGAAACCAGAGAACGTCCAGCTAACACAACACTTACAACGGCGGTCAGAAGACTAACACTTCATTAGGGTTTACAAAAAAAATTCACAAGTTTTTTTTTAGTTACTAAAAAAATTTATTTTATCCTTTTAAACAGAAATCAATAACCAATTTTTTTAAATATTAAATAGTGTTTAATGATAGCCAAACTCAATCATTAGTTTTCCCTTTATTTCAAAAACTTAATTGCGAGTTTACCTGTGATCATCAAAGAAATAATATGTGCAGGACTATTGTGCTGACCGCTGCTGTTTGTAAAACACCAAAGCCAAATGGTATGTAAAATAATGAAGGGGATTTCCAGGGGGGAAAATGGTGAGGTGAGCAAACACGAAACGTGCCGCGTTTAAAAATAAAACGCAAATCTCGTGCGGCGCAGCGCGTGCGCAACATGTTGCCACACATACACGGACAGGAGAACCCACACACTCACACACTTGCAACAGACAGTAGGTCGCTGGCAACATGTTGCCGAAATATGCACCTTAACACAGAAAAATTATTTATTTATATTTAGTGGTTTTTGGTTGATTACTTTCAATAATTCAAGATTAATATCGTTTTAACTATTTCTTGTTGCGGTGTTTCTTTTTTAATAATTTTAATTTTGACAGATCCTCGTTAAAAAAGTACTTATTTTTTTTACAAAAAAAAAAATAAATATATTTAATGTTATAAAATCAGCTTAACTTAAATGTTATTCTTTTTTGATGTTTAAATTTCAAAACACTCCAATAAAGTTTAGTATTAAAAAAATTATTTTAATCGTTTAATACTCAGTTTATATCCGATATTTTGAAAAAAATCAGGTGCTCTTAAAAGAAAGAAATATAGATAATTTAAAAAACCAAAATACCTTACAAGTCCAATTTTTTTTAACGTGCATACACGCAAACACACTTGAAAAAATATGTACAAAAATCAACACACACCTGCGGCCACACTCGAAGAGACGGTCCGCTCACCTGGCCGCTTTTAACTGGTTTGCGGCGGTTTTTGTTTGTCTCAACTAGCGGCGTCGCTGCCAACACTCTCGCATATCATTATGGCCCGTGTGCACTGGCTTTATTATTACGCGCACTTGTTCCAAAGCTCCGCTTGCCGTTTCTTTGAAAAAAAAAAATAGAAAATAGAAAAAAGATAAAAAATGGGTGAACAAAAATTAAATATCAGCTGTTAGCGGGAAAAGCATGCCACAACAAACAAACCAGCAAGCACACATACACACTTCGAGAAAAAAAGGAAAAAAAAACAAACACAGACAGCTAAAAGTGGTTTTCCAGTTGGCTTTGTGCATTGTCATGATTTTTGCACTTTTTTCACCTACTTGCCTTATGCTAGCCCACATTTATTTGCATACATTGCATACGCGGTGTAACAATTGCAATCAATCAGCTGAAAATCCCTTAAAGTCTATTATTACAAAACAATTCGCTGGAATTCTCATATAACAATTCTTAAGAAAATGATGCTCATGACTTTGTTTAATTACTTTGTTTGTTATTCGAAGTATCTACCTACAATATACAAATCCTTTAAACGTCTTGAATAGATGTTATATCAAAAGGTTTAATTTGGATTATGTATACAAATTGTACATGGCTACTTTTGCACACAGGGCGTATGAGCAATATTAAGTTTTAACTGCCAGCTTTCTGTTTTTCAAGGGATTGGTTGCACTTTATTGGCTTTTTTCACTTAACCTTTAATTTTACATTTCGTACCTGCTAATTAAATGCGACATTTAGGAGTTCCAGGTATTATTTCTTTTTTTCCTGTGTGTGTTTGCTGACGTTTTTAATGGTTTGCCATATTTTTTTTCTGTTTCTGTTTTTTGTTTTTAATAAAAATTTAAATGCAATTTTATTATGCTGATAAGCAGCGAGGGGATTTTTTAATCTGAAATCTGTCTGCAATTTGCATACAAACAAAACGGGGTTTCTACATTCCCCCAACTCGTCCGATCTACCGATTTCCTTAACTTTAAAATCGTGTGAACATCGGCAACTATTATGTGCTGTAATTAAGTCCATATTGTTGGCAGCAAATGAAAACAAAAAGTCGAGTAAACGAGAAAAAAAAGCAAAAAAAAAATAAAAAAAGGCAAGCACAAATTGTAATCGATTGGGACTTGCATAACAACGCGTGTGGGTTAAACCGACCCCCCTTCGCCCCTTCACACCGACGCCCCTGGCCACCGATGTAACCTTCTTGCCCTGTGCGGTGCATGCAAAATCGCCATTTTCGGAGTGGCTTTGGGCCCGGGTCTTGCTCTCGGTCAGTTCTCGGGACACGGCGGGCACTGCGAGCATTTTGATGGTCATTTTAAAGGCGAAAAAAGGCCGCGCCACGCATGCGCAATGCGAAAAACGCGCGCGAAACGCGAGCAAAACGCGTGCGGGCATTTTAAATTGATTTCGTATCAGTCCAAATTTTTTCCCCCATGGCTTTTTTTTTAGAAACTAAAAGCGTAAAATGCGCCAACACATAAATAATTAATTAATGTATAGTGTGTTGGGCAGCAAACAAGACCAGAAAATGAAAGCTGAGAAGGTGTAAGACGAACTCCAAATGCTCTATAAATAAAATAAAAATACAAAATAAATATGGGAATAAATGAGAAACATATGTACATATATTTTAAATGATTAAGGTTATTCCTCAGAAGATAACTTGAAATGTAGTTCAGTTTTAAAAGAATATATATTGAAATATTGGCTTTAATTTTACATATTTTTTCTTGCCCTCTTATTTCTCACAGTGCATTTACAACACAAAGTAAATTAGTTTTGATGATCACCCATGTTTGTGTCGAACAATTTAAATACATTTGTTTAATATCTTAAGGCATAATATGAAAGTTAACGCTGCTCCGAAAATGAGGAGATAAGAAAGAAAGTAGGATCATAATCATCCATCCACTGCCCCTCGCCAGCTGGTGCTGCACTCCTCGAGATCTCTGCGATCTGAGATCTGCGGTGGCCAAAAACGAATGCCGATCTGTTGCCACTTTGCTTACGATATCTTTTCTTTTGCTTGTATTTTGTTTATTTTTAGCCAAAAGCTGGTTTCGAGCCCGACACCGCCTCGCTGCGAGAGAAAGTTGTGCTGAATCCGGCCGAGAAATGGCGCATCTTAAAGAATATCTCGATCATCTCGATCGCCTTTATGGTGCAATTTACAGCGTTTCAGGTGAGACAACATTGCCAGCTCGAAAAACTATTTCGAAATTTTTAATCACATACCTGTTTGTTCATCCCTTGTCGATTCAATATTTACAAAATTAACTTCGTTATCGTCACTAATCATATTAAATAAGTAATATGAGAAAATTATAAAATCGATGGAAATAATAATTGCATAAGATCAGATAATAATTCTTTTATTTATAAAAAATATATATATTATTTAAAGCAGCTAATTTCAGCATTTTAAAAAATATACATCTAAAAGAAAATAAAGGTTTTAAATAATTTCGAAATATATAAGGAGATTTGCGAACGCCTTGCTAACTGATCCTCCAATTTTAGGGCACGGCCAATCTGCAATCCTCGATCAACTCCAAGGACGGCCTGGGCACAGTGTCACTGAGTGCGATCTATGCCGCCTTGGTGGTCTCCTGCATCTTCCTGCCCACCCTGATCATCCGGAAACTGACGGTCAAATGGACTCTCGTGTGCAGCATGCTCTGCTATGCACCCTACATCGCCTTCCAGCTTTTTCCGCGATTTTACACATTGGTTCCCGCCGGTATCCTTGTGGGTATGGGCGCCGCACCCATGTGGGCGTCCAAAGCCACCTATTTAACGCAGGTGGGACAGGTGTATGCTAAGATCACGGAACAAGCTGTGGACGCCATCATCGTGCGGTTCTTCGGCTTCTTCTTCCTGGCCTGGCAATCCGCCGAGCTCTGGGGCAATCTCATCTCCAGCTTGGGTGAGTTCACATTGTGGCAACTCAAATACGATAGGCAGTGTAAAATATTATTTTGTTACCGCTGGCCATTTAGTCAGTATCAATCGGCTACTGATCACCACCCATTATCAGTAACCGAATGATATTACCTAAATAGCCAGCAGTAAAAGAAATAATTTTATATACTGTTGATAGCTAACCGATCCAGTAATCGATTGATAATACCCAAATAACAAACAGTAACAATGATAATACTTTATAATCATTAACAACTGCCCTTTTATGCTAAGTTGCTCTAAAACTTTTGTTCTTATAAATTCCTCAACAAAGAGGGTCATAAAAATTTTGAAAAGTCACCGTCAGTCTTATCAAATCATTTGTTGGGCATTAGCTTTTGATTTTGCCAGCTACCGAAAATCATAAAACGGGCAACCAAGTCATTCATTTGCGACCGATTACAAAGCAGTTTAATTAATCTTCAATTGCCGGAAATCATAAAACTGGTAGACCAAATTTTGATAGTTCAGAAACGTGCTGGAAAATAGGGGGGTAACCATTTGGAGGGGGGTGCTCCATATTGGCTACTCCCTACGCTTCACTGTTCGCCCTACTAATACCACATCCTTTGCAGTCCTGTCCAGCGGCGCCCATGGCGGCAGCAGCAGCTCGAACACGACAATCAGCGAGGAGGACCTGCAGTTCTGCGGGGCCAACTTCTGCACCACCGGAAGCGGCGGCCACGGCAACCTGGAGCGTCCGCCAGAGGATGAGATCTTCGAGATCTCGATGATCTACCTGTCCTGTATTGTGGCCGCCGTCTGCATCATTGCCTTCTTCCTCGATCCCCTCAAGCGGTATGGTGAGAAGCGGAAGGGATCCAATTCGGCAGCCGAGCTGTCCGGACTGCAACTGCTGTCCGCCACCTTCAGGCAGATGAAGAAACCAAATCTGCAGCTCTTGATCCCGATCACCGTGTTCATTGGCATGGAGCAGGCCTTTATTGGTGCCGATTTCACGCAGGCGTATGTGGCGTGTGCGTTGGGCGTGAACAAGATTGGCTTCGTGATGATCTGCTTTGGAGTGGTGAATGCCTTGTGTTCGATCCTGTTCGGCTCGGTGATGAAGTATATTGGCCGCACGCCCATCATTGTGCTGGGCGCCGTGGTTCACTTCACCCTCATCACCGTTGAGCTGTTCTGGCGTCCCAATCCCGATAATCCGATCATCTTCTATGCGATGTCCGGACTGTGGGGAGTGGGCGATGCCGTTTGGCAGACGCAGATCAACGGACTGTACGGCCTGCTCTTCCGCAGGAACAAGGAGGCCGCCTTCTCCAACTACCGCCTGTGGGAGTCAGCCGGTTTTGTGATCGCCTACGCCTACGCCACCACGCTCTGCACGCAGATGAAGCTCTACATCCTGCTGGCGGTGCTCACGCTCGGCTGCATCGGCTACGTGATTGTCGAGATCCTCTACAGGAAGAAGGTGAGTCCGAAGAATGATTGTACTCCATGCGAATCAATAGAGTGGAACAGTAGTATACAAAGTTTGCTAAATATTCAACAAGTATTCATTTTGATCTACGATCTATCGATCTAAAATCATCACTATTTCAATTTAATATGCCCTATTTCATTTATTCTGTTAATTATGTCTGTTTTTGAATGCTTTTATTTTTCCTGGACTTTTGTGCCCAAAAGTAGGCAACAGTTTTCCACATTGTGTATACGTATCATTAGCCTGAGACAATTTTTATGCCTAAAAGTAGGGAAATTCAAGAGAATTGTATATAAATCTAAATCTATGAGATACAAACCATACATTCTTGGTTTATAACTCATACTTCTTTTGATTTATTTATTGAATTGGATTATTGATTAAATTTATTTAACCGCTTTGAAAAACTATCTTTTGAATTTGCCAAGTAGTAACCCTTTTAGATTTTAACCACTGAGAACTAACCCATATTTCGTTATCCTTTGCAGCAACGCAAGGTGAAGAAGCAGGAGAAGCTGGAGGCGGCGGAGAAGGAGAAGGAGGCCGCCGCCGCAGCCGCTGCTGCCGCTCTGGCCGCTGCCGAGGCAGGACCTGATGGCGTCGAGGAGACCGACGACGAGCTGGACGATCTCGAGGAGGACATTGTGGTCACGCGCCTGTAAATGTTTTATTCTCCCCCCAAAGTACACACCCCCAATATCCCCCTCACACACCCCACATTCCATCAAGTTATCGATAGAGAAGGAGCAATTACCAACTGGAGAGAACCGGGAGCGTCATTGATTCAAATACCAACTGGCCGAGGTGCACTTTGCACCGCAAATAATCAAATTTGCATACCTATCGATATACAAAATAGCGCTCCATTATCGATAACAAAAATATCAACTGGCGCCCATTGATGGCCGAAACGCGTTGCATACTTTTGTGGTTGTAGCTTTGTAGTAGAACATTTGTACCCCTCACCCCCGAAAACCCGCTCCTGCAAGAGATACCATTTAGCTCAAAGTCCAACAGAGTTTGGCTTAACTTTAGTTTGTACATACAGAGAAGAGATCGAAAAGAGCGAAATGCTAAGAAATGCAACAGCAGTGAGAAACTCCGAAAAAAATGCAAATCTTTTGTGTGTTAGTCTAGGTGTAAGCACACTCGTACTTTGTTTTTATGCACGCCTTGTTTTCAAATATAAATTGATCGATACATACTTATCGAAAGATGTATTGTTATTGTTGATCGATTTGTAATATCAAAGTTATAAGTTTTATTATGTGCAAATAAGTAGGTCACAATAATCTATTGCTGATACAACCTTATTTGCAGTTCGAAATTCAACAAAATTTGTATTTGCAATTGAAGCGTTCGTATAAACGTAGTATCACACAACCATACAAACACACACGCACACACACGGGACACACACACTGCAGCAGTGTGCTTGTCCACGATGCCTAACAAATTGTTATTTTATTTTAAAGCGTATTTTAACTATAGCGTATCCCTAAACGAAAATTGTAATACCCTTCTTCTTTTGTAAATTGAGTTTTTTGTTTTTTTAAAAAGAAAAGAAAAGAAAACGTGATAATCTACACACGCCCACACGAAACACAAAAACCAGTCACAAGAAAAAAAAAACAATTATATGAAAATAGTCAAATTTGTAAAGTTAAAACACTACTGGCCTTAATGAAATATATATTTAAAAAATATATATATACGATAGATCAGTGCAAAAATGAAAAAAACAAACAAAACGAAAAGCAATTAATTAATATATAAAAATATCTTTAAACAAAAGCAAAAAATCTAGTAGGCAAAATGTTATATACACATTTTTTGCTCAGTATTATGTTTTAAACTAAATTTAAGCGAGTTATTGTTTCCTGTTTATATTTTTTTTTCGTAAACACTATTTTTACGATTTTTCGTTTTTCGATTTCGAGTTTGATTTTTTCTTCTTAAACAACAAACTCCCTGCGATGGCAATTAAGATTAAAGAGAAATCTTATGATATACCATAAACACGTCTACAAAACGATATATATATATATATATCTTTTTCGTTTTATTTAAACGATTTACTTAAACATTAATGAAAAAAACACATACACAACAAATTTGTGAGAAAAAAAATACAACAAATATTTTTCTTTTTTTTTTGCTTAGCATGTTAAGTAGTTCATTATATTATGTAAAATATATAAAACAAATAAATGAATATAAATCTAATTGAAATGATTACTTTTACTGGAGGAAGTAAACGTGATTTGGTAATGTTCTGTCGGTCATGCGTTAATTAGTTAAAAACATTTTCTTATCGTATCGTAAGCGCAACTAATTTGTTATAATTTCGCTTCTTTATGGAAGCTGCATATGGAAAAGCCGTTTTAAGCGCCAAATAAATACCCAGTATGTTAAACAATTAAAAATTTTAAAGAATTAGCAACATGTCTGAACATGCATGGAAACTGAAACACAATTATTTTTTTACAATTTATAATGACATTTTAAGATTATTAGGTACTTTTTTGTATGTAGTCCGAACTTTTAGGGAAACCCATCATAAATGTTTTAAAATATATAAAATTTAAAGTTAAATTATTATTCGTTAATGTAGATTTACTTAGGCTCTAATAGTTGTCAAGAGTTACAGCAGGAAACAAGTTTTGGTTCTAGAATTTGTGGGTTTTACTAGTTTTGGGAACGGCAAACAATGAAAACCAAAAGCAGACCGACAGCTTATGCTACGATTGCTGGACGTCGAAATGCCAGCTATCTTAGACTAGATGGAGGACTGCTGCCCTCAAAGGACGATGGCTTCGTCCTCCTGGAACTGCTTGTTCTTGCGCCGCCGGTTAGACTTGATCTTGCTGAGCACACTGTAAGCCTGTTGGATCTCGATGAATCGCTGGTGAGCCTGGGCACGCAGGGCCTCGTCCTTGACCTTGTCGGGATGGTACTCCTTGGAAAGCCTCCTGTAGGAGGCGGTGATCTCCGCCTGCGAGGCTGTGGCACTCACGCCCAGCACCTTGTACGAATTCCGCTCGCCATCCACGTCCATGCTCTCAAACACCTCCTTCCAGGTCTCGTACCATCCGTGATGTTGCGCATAGTTGTAGGTGTCCAGCAGGGCCTGCTTGAGATCCGTCCACCAGGCGGAGGCCAGGAAGTTGTGGATGGCCTCGTGGATGGGCACCTCGCCGCCGTCCTCGTCCGAAATGGTACCATTGAAGTACAGGAAGCTGCCCCAGAAGGCGCAGTATATGACAACGGCGGTGGTGAGCTTGAAGGTCCTTTCTCCAGCGCTTCCTCGGCGCGGCGGAGTCCTACGCCACTGCTTGGAGATGCCATCAAAGGTCAAGGCCGCAACGAGGCCAGTGAGCAGCAGGGAGTAGGTCTCGTCATAGATCAGATACCTGGCCGGATAGACCAAATAGGCGGCCAAGAGGCAGTGCCACCAGACGCCCTGCTCCCGGCCAATGTTGCCCACCAGCCAAACGCCCAAGGACACGAACAGCGGTATGGCCCAGTGCAGGAAGCTCAGGTCCCAGCCGCCGACCAGTGACTCCGGAATGGCCATTGCGCACACCTGGCCGAACAGGTGGCCGATCATCACCTGGCCCACGAATCTCTTCGAGGAGTATGTCGGTTTCGGATACGCCTGCAGCTTGGCCACGAACAACTTGACGAATCGCGGATCCTCATTCGCATCCCGGACATATTCCGGGATCAGGAACAGCTCGCCCATCCATCCGATGCCCATGTAGCCGCCCAGAGTGCACCACCAAATAAAGGCGTGGCGATCCCGATGCAGATACAGATGATGCAATCCAAAGATCCCGCCGAAAAGCCAGCATAGATAAGCCACCACCACCGATTTCTGGGGCGGCAGGGCATTCACCTCCTTCTTTTTGCCCTTGCTTTGGGTCTGGACGCCATTGGACTTCAGTTTCGAGGGCGATCCTCTGGAGGAGTCGTTGGAATTGCCCTTGCTGGCGACGGGTGATGTTGTCTGCTTGGTGCCCATGATTCTTCAATTAGATGACTGTGAAGGAGATACAAAATTTATTATAAATGGGGTATTACTAGGTTTCAGAAGCTTTTGGGAATTTCAGAGTCACTCGCATTATTGCTTTTACTAAGAAACCTATATTCTACGTTATTATACTCAGAAGCAAACTTGACATTAATATTAGCAAAGCTTCATTGCTTTAAACTAGCTTGAAGTACATCTTTATTATCCCAAAAATGTTATGGGCTGATGATTTAGAATACTATTAATTATACTAAAATAAATCATTTGGAACCATTTTCCCTTGAAAATCTTTTTCGAGCGATAATATTTCATGTCTAATGAAATTACTTTAAAGTTCTACGAAATTAAAGTAAAACATACATGCTGAAAGTCACTTTTAAATTTTATTAAAATAGTTAATGTAAGGAAAGCTAAATAAAGATATAGGCTTATAAATATATATTTTTAGGCCACTTTGGCAGGAGACACTTACCTACACTCAGTCGACCTCAATTTCTTGTGAAATTGTCGCTGCGCAGGCGCAACTTCTTGGCCACGACTGTAAATGGTAGAAAGAGAGGTGGAGAAAGACGCAGCGCAGAACTTTCTCTTTTCACAAATTCTACGCACGCAGCAACAACAAAACGACAAACTGAATCACAAAAAAAAATACACCACGTACATTGACACGTTTAATTTTAATTGGTTCTCCCACTTTTCTCGGAAAAATATAATTACAACCACTAAAATATATTGAGCGATAAGAAAATTGTTGTTTTGCGGGCCGAATTAAAAAATTGAATAAAAAAAACTTCTGAGCTCGGCTTTTTGTCAAGTGTGACCAACACACAAAGCGCTTTAAAATACCACTGATCGAAATATATACTAAAACAAATTGAAAAGTTTTTAGATCACAAATATACAATTTATATATTTGTATAATCTGAGTTAGTTTTTGCAATAGATCTTAAAACTTACAAGGTATAAATGTATATGATCATTTTCCTGCGTTTCAAAATTGGAATAATCACACAATTATAGATCAAATTAAAATTGAATGATATATGTATAATGTAAACTTCTCGATAAGAGTTACCACTTTTTTTAACCATACAGAAATAATTAAACCTATCAATGTTCAAAATCCAGTTTTAAATATTCCTAATTACTTTTGATCTTAAAAAAAGGTATTTAAAAATGAAATACTTTTATTTATTCTCGGTTTTTGTTCGTTCGCCTAATATGGCATAATTGCATATTCGGCACGGCTTACATGTATAAAAAGAAATTTTGTTTTCGATATTTTGACACATTATTTGAGCTTTTACAATCAACTTAGCCTATGATTAAAGTAAAAATAATAATCAAATAGAATTGGATTACCAACTAAAATTTGTGTGAGAATTTGTTGATCGCAGGTGTGTTATGAAATCCTTTCGAGATTTTAGTTATAAATATTGCGTCAGAATGTAGTCATTCAAATATTTTAAAGCAAATATTAAATGAGGCATTTCAAATAGCTTTTTGAAATAATTAATCACTTTTTCAAATAATCATTGCTGTAATATAATGTAATCGGTAAACTAATGTATAAACTGTCTATTGACATATTTAGGTTTCCGAATTTTGTGAATGGAAATCTGAACATATTTTAAAGTCAAAAAAAATATTTAGGTTGGTCTATAACGTTTAAATCAATATTGCAAATTCTTTAAAAATTCAAAAAGCCTTTAAAACTAGACTAAATCTAAATCTAAAACTTGAGAAAATCCATCAGCACACCTGCATACGTGTGTTGTAATACTTTTCTTTTGGATTAATAAATATACGAGGCAAAAAAAAAACACCTTTCCGTTTAGGAGCTAACATTCCGGAACCAGCTCCGGACTTAAGATGAGTGTAGTTGCTGGTCTTGAACGTTCGCCGCTTAGTTGTTCTTCTTCTTGGGCTTCTTGGGATTGCGGGAGCGCGACTTGGCCTTGCAGAGCGGACAGATGGGCGCGTTCCGGTGGATCTGCTGGTGGCAGGAGAGACAGGACTTCATGGGCGGCGGCTGCTGGCGGAGATTCACATTGAAGTCGGAGCGGAACGAGGGATGATGGCCGATGCCGATGGAGGGCGATTGTTGGAGTCGATTGCTGGGCGGCGGCGGCGGTGGTGGTGCTGAGAAATCGCCCTTGCCCAGACGCACTGCAGCAGCGGCCGCAGCGGCGGCGGCAGCAGCACTGCCCGCTCCCGGCGGTGCGGGCGGCATGAAGGCGTGTCCAGGATTCCCACCGCCAGGTCCTGCGCTGCCAACCGACCCGCCACCACCGCCTGCTCCGCCGCCGCCGGCACCACCCTGGCCGCCACCCGAGGGCAAGGCGGTGACGGTGGCCTCCGGCATCAACGGATGTCGGGCATGCGGACGGGCCAGCGCGGAAGACTGGTTAACCGAGGCGGCCGCCGCCGCAGCGGCTGCTGCTGCTGCCGCCGATTGGGCGGCCACCTTCAGGAAGTTGGTCTGGAAGCGGTCCTTCGAAATGGGACTGCCCTCCTCCTCGTGCAGGTCCCTCAGGGGACTCAGTCCGAGGTAGTCGCGGCGCATGTGATCGATCTGGTACTTGAGCGCCAAGTACTCCTCGTACACCCGGTTGGCCATGTCGAAGGAACGCGTCTGGTTCTCCTTCGTCTGCTTGATGATGTTCTCCATGTCGTTGATGTCGGCATGAATCTGGCGCAGCTCCTCCACATGCGACATCTTCTCCTCGAGCAGGTGCTCCATCTCCTTGCGGTACTCCTCCAAGCACTTCTCCTCGTCGTCGCTCAGCTTCACCTCCTTGATGATCCGCACCTTCAGCTTCTCCAGGGACAGCGTCTTGTCGCGTATGTCCTTGATGGCCTCCAGTTTGGCGTAGTAGTGTCGCTCGTTCGAGCTAGAAATCTCGCTGGTGGCCATTTTCGATCCAAGCGCTGTGTGTGGTATATTGGGATATAATATTTTCGAAAGACTCGAGTGTTTTCTTTGGCCCCCTCCTCTGGGGTTATGTTTATTTTGCACTTTTCACTAGCCAAATGCTTCTGGATTGGAACTTTCGACTGGTCTGCAAGCATCTAATGCAGCCGGTTCAATTTGGGGCAGTAATCCTGCTCAATGGATCACTTTTAATTGACTTCTTTGATATTTATTTGATTTTTTCGCTTTACTTTACTTTTGTGTATAGTAGAGTAGTTTAGTGCAGTGTGACAGTGTCGATAACCATACAAAATACCATACGTCCTAAAAATAAATACCAGTATATACAGTTTCAAGGAATACCATAAATATTTAATTAATTATCAAAACCCATTTTCTCTTTTTTCCTGTACTGAAATAAACACAAAGTTCCATTAGTTTACTGTAATATTAATTCTTATTACTTTTAATTACTATTTTTACTTTTGCCGAGGACGGTGTTTGCCGGCTACCCGCAAACGGCCACACTGGTGCCCAGCCCGCAGTTTCCAGATACGAAAAATGCATTTGTATTATTCGATCGGGCGCAGATCGGATGAAAAGCGGGGCTTGGAGTGCAGACAAAGAATCTGGTTCTGGTCATGATTTTCCATCCGCGAATTGTCAACTTTAGTTGAACACGTAGTTGTTAGTGCCCCAAAAACAACAACAAAAGGAACGATCGCGAAAAAGAGAGACGGATGCAAACAATGCGTACGCGAGCGTGTGTGTGTAAGACATTCCACAAGTGAATCATTCTTCAAAAATAATAAATAAATAAATAAGACGAGCGATGTAAACTAATGCGAAATGTTTGCGGAAATGTGTCAACAAGTGAATGCCGTAAAATATCAGTGCAATACCAATATGTGTGGGAAATCAATTTGATTTTAAGAGTACTCTTTTTCGCCCACCGCTCTATTCCTCTCTCTTACTCTTTGTTTTCGTTTTTTTTATTGTTGTGTTGTGTGTTGTGAATAAAAAAGAAGTTAAGTTAACCACGCATAAATTGCATACGAAATTTCGACAAGGAAAAAGCGAAAGGTAAAAGTGTTTTTTTATGGGTTTTGAAAGCCGATTTTTTTGCTCTTTTCTGCGGGCTTCGATTTTCGATGGTTTCTTTCAAATGCGTTCTAATCAATCCGTGTTCGTATGCGGGTCCTATGCTTGTGTTAGTTAGATGATAAATTTTGACACAGCTGTGTGTCAAATAATAGTTATCTTAAAAATAAATTCCCTTTTAATAAAACCATTTTTATTCGGGATTAAAAACTAAAACTAATCAAAAATTCCAAGATGTATTAGAACTGGTTTTTTCATAAAATAATTGGTGTTTCTTCTATTTCTCACGAAGAATATTTTATTCAAATATTTGAAATATTATTAAAATAGCTTTGTAATGTTATTTTATCTTCATTTAAAAAAGAGGAGAACTTGTATTATGGTGAACACATCTGTATAGTTTGACACACATATGTATGTATATCGCTTCTAACTGCTTATCGCTCCCAATTGGTGATAGTGTGTGTGAACGAGACGGGTGACACCTGTTGATTCTCTTCGCCCCTGTCTCTTTCCCTCGCTCTCTGCCCTCTCTTTTTGGCACATTTTGTTGCTGTTCTTAATTGTTTGGCAATTAAGTCAATTATAAACATATTAAGCCAACCGACACACATTCTCCGATTTAGTTAGGTTTCCCTTTGTCTTTCACAATTTAACCAATAACCGATCAATACAAAAGAAAAGTCCCAAAATTGGGCCAAACAAATAAAAACTCTCTTAACAAAATATTATAGTAAATATATAGCCCATAAGTTTAAACGGAATTTTCGTTAAATATATAAATGTAGTCGTTCTTTACAAGTTATAAAACTGTTGCAGTCCCTCTTAAAAAACTTCTTACATAAAATAAATTTCCAGAAATATAAGAATGCCTAAACTTTTTTATTTACAAAAGATTATATGAAAGATTATTTTAAAAAAGTATAAATAACAAAAAATAAAAACCAAGTTACATAAAGTACAATATCTCATAAACTCTTAATTGTTTTTCCTTGTTTTAAAATAAGACATATGTAAGCGGTTGTTAACAATGCCTTTAAAACATGTATGGTTCTTTAAAGCGAGATAGTATTACCAATAATAACAAAACCTCTTCGTTAAACTAAATGTATATACATAGTTCGCAAAACCCTCCGTAATGGTAATCCAGGTAATCAAGTGTCTGGGTCATCTTCTCCCCCTTTAACGATCACCTGGTGGGTTCTTCTACCTGTCTTCTACCGGTGTGCGTCTGGTTTTTTGTGTGTAAATCAAATCACAAATCGATGGCAACTTACGTACGACAAAAAATGCCGTCAAACAACTTGGAAATCGAGTCGCGAGTCGCGAGATCGCTTAACCCCACTCTGCCCCCCGGTTCTTCGGGCTCCACTCTTATATAATTGGGGCCATGGAAGCGTTAAGACGAGTGTTAAGCTTTCTGTGCCCATTTCCTCCAGTTTTTTTTGCACCATGCCCCTTGAATACGATCCAGGAATGAAAAGACAGACAGATATAGCTCAGCTTATTTTTACTGTCGCAGCTCTTATCGCGGTTATAAACATAAACAAAAACAAAGCTCAAACTCGGACCATGAATCACAAAGACGTACATGCATATATGTATCTACACAGAGAAAGCAACTTACCATATCTCTTCTATATGATCATACGGATTATATGAACTTATTATTATCCAAAGTAATTCTTTCATATGATGTAATGCACAAGAGTAAGTCAGTATTACCAAAGAACAATATAATCTCTTATATTAGATTATATTGGTCTTTGGTATTACATATTACCATTAAATAATACAAAGGTAAACCTTTTTAATATCAGTATTCAGAGCCATTTTCGAGACAAGATTAGTTTTAGTCCTTCTGGGATAGAAACATGATTACTCCGTTACAAACACTTTTACAACAGCTTGGTATAGAATATTTTTTATCTAAATGTCACATCGTTGTTATTAAAATGTCAGAATTAAAGAGATTTTTTACTGTGCACTATCGTGTAGCCATTGCACTTGGTCCATGGAAACTGCTGTAATTAGCAAAATAACAATGCAACAAAAGAAGGAAGGCAAAAACAAGCAAAGGGAGAACGCAAGTGATTCATGCGAATAAACGACGATCCAATTGCAAGTGCGCATGAATACATTACTTTATTTGCATGCAAACATATAAATATGAATTAAATACGTCGGATTATATAGTGCATATTAAATTATATACGTACAGAAATATGTATATCTTGTTTAAGGCCAGTCCAAATATTTTCGCAACGGAAGTGTGGCTTATTAGATCGTATAATTGCACAAAAAATTAGAACAATATGAGGCATCGAAATACGATATATAAAAATATATATCAACGTTAACTTATAGCTGCCCAAATTGGATTTACGACGTGACAGTCGTTATCAAAAACAAACTCTGGTTTTCCATTCATTTTGAAATACACTAGTTTGTAATTATTTATAGCTCTGATAATTGTTGTACTTATTGAAAAGTTTAACCCCGAATAAGGAAGATTTCGAGAAAGATACAAAATACTTTATTTTAAAAGCTTAGTCCATTCATTCCTTTATTGAAATTGATCCATTTTTAAAAGCCTTATCTGGCCTTTCAGTTTCAGTTTCATTTTTATATTGCTGATTGTTTGTTTCCATTGGGAAATCGATCAAAACAATTGCAGTCCTCATTTTGTTTACATTGATAATGCAAGAGTTTTAATTTGTGTATGGGCTCTACCCTGATATAATGCCTCATCCAAGAGGCTCCTTCAAAGGGCAATCTGTAGCCGGCCATTCATGATCTATACGCACACTCAATGCTCGGCATATTCGCTATATAATTGTCATTGTTGAGCGGCTCGTCATTGTTATCGCTCTTTCTGCCCGGCCACTATAAATACGAACGATATCTGGACAAATGTGTATATAGAGAGAGTTTTTTTTACTATACGAGGTAAAATTCGTAACTATATCAACACACAGAAGTGTGACACATTACTGTTATATGTATCTCTGGGGACGATAAATGAAAATCAAACATTTAATACAATCTCTATAACGTTTTTCACAAAGTTATTTCTGATCCAAATAATGACCTTTGCATCGCCTAAAGCTATGAAACGCACTGTAGGCAGGCCACATGGTCTCGGAATTGGGTAAATGAATATGGATTCATGATTGTGTGTGGCAAAACAATTGATTCACTTGGTCAGCACTCGGTTACTATATGTATGTACATATTATTATTCTAGTCGTGTGAGAGCGTGAAATTTGAAATTCGGTTGAAATAGTGGAGCTCGATTAATCATCGAAAAGAAGACACAACGTAGTTTTTCTAGTTGATATTCCCGGGAAACGATATAGGGTCCAATCTAATGTGAGTCATCCATCAAGTTCATTCATCCAACTTATCCAGCGCAATATGCAAAGCAAAGCGCAAAGCAAAAGTGCCAGCGACAATAAGCGCAACAATGGGTTCGTTTAAACTTTAAACGTTTATAAACAAAATAATCGAGGTTCGAGGAAGTTGACTAGTGGAGGAGAACTGGAACTCCCATTTGAAGTGGGGCGGACCACTTAAGCGACAACGACAGCAATTCGCGGGCTTCCCAGATGGTCCACTCTTTGAGGTCCCATTCCCCATTCCCCATTCCATCCCCATCTCGTCCGATCCCATCCGATCTGGTCTGGTCTGATTCCAAGCCCCCACTTTGGACTCTGTCGAGAGTTGAAAAGTTCAGGGAACTGCAATGAAAGTAAAACGAAACAATGGGCGGGCCAGAGGAATTAAGATCATCAATGAAGAAGTGATGTAAACAAGTCTCAAATGCCAGATCCTTGACTCTCAAAACAATATTGTTTTGAAGTGGTCGTGTATGGGATGTTATTTCTATTAGGAAAATACAATTTATCAACAACAAACGTATATTTATATTAAATATAATTTTAAATTTTAACTTAGCGTGATTTATAATTCATACTTATTTTGAAAACTAATAAGTGAATAAGCTTTAAGAAAAACATAAGCATTTTTCAGGGTATTTTTAAATATTATCAAACTCAGTTATGACATAATATGGTGTAATATTTTAAAATAAAATTCATTCTGATAACTCAGCACTTTTGTGATGCCTAATGCTCGAAACTTTCTGGGCTGGCACTGAAAAAATTTGCTGATAATTGCGCTCAGATAGCTTGGATATTGTTTATTCAAATCTCTGTTTCATTCCAACTGAATAAATAATCGGGTGAAAAACGCTGACTTTGAAAGCGGAAAGTGAAAGCGTCGCTGCGAGTGGGGGAAAAATAAATAATGATCGATCGAAGAGGCGAATGTTGATCGTCCAAGAAGAAATGCAAACACGTGTCTTTAATTTCCGCACTCTCTACATTTTTTATTTGCCTTGTTGGCCCCCTATTATGTGTCCACTTAAAAATTGCAAATACTTAAGCATAATCTAAGCGTTAATCTAAATAAATTATGAGCTAATTGTGATATGGGCTGTCTGGCTAATTCGAGTAGTCCAGACGCCTTCGAGCCAGAGCCAATCGAATGAGTCTGCGCTGTTCCAATTCCTGCAGTTGCTGCTGGACGAGCAGCCGATGCAGTAGCTCCACTTTGGCGTACTCCTGGGCCTTCTGTTGCACCCGCTTTTGTTGCTCCTCCACAAAGGCGTCCATGGTCCTCGAGATTAAGCTGGACTCCTTGACTTGCTCCTCCTTCTGGCTCGTGGCTGTGTGGTGCCAGTAGTTGATCTGGATGAACTGCAGCAGTAGGTGAATCAGATGGCTCCAGAAACACAGTGAGGATTGGTAGAATTCGGATAGGCTGGTGGACATGTCGACAGCTCGATAAACTGGTGAGAAGTGTGAGGTCTGTGGTTGAACTCCGGGCTTAAATACTTCAAACGGGTTACCTAAAAGAACCCCTGCAGGTATGTTCCAAAAATCCAAGGGGATACCTGTAGGAATAAGCCCTTCAACAGCGCCATAATCCTTAGGCATCCTCATCAGGTAATCCTTAAAGTCAACACGATTTTGGGACAAACCCATTAGGTATAAAGGATACCCGTAGATACCCTCAGTAAAGCTACCAAAATGTCAAAATACCTACTTTTTATGGTACATAAACCCCTTTGTTACCTAATAATTATTTCAAAAAGTATGTTGGCAGTTTGCAAACCGATTGTACAGTTGTCATCAACATAATTTAATACCTTTGGCCGATTTATTAGTTTCACCTTATATTTATTAATGCAAGAAATGTTCGAATGTTTGTAGAGGCATTATAATTGTAGTGTTTTGTTAACCCACTATATTGTCTGCATTTTTAGGTTCCGTCATGGAGCAGGCGCGCCCGGTGCCCGCCCCTCGTCGCCTCTATCCCGAGCTGCGTCCCGCCAACTACGAGAACATTGAGATCCGGATGCCCAACAATGCAAGTAATAATATGAACAACAACAATAACATCAAGAAGCTCAACATAAATGCGGAAAATCTGCACGGCAACTGTGCAGAAAAGAAGCTGCCATCGAGTGGACAAAACAAGTTGATACTGCAGGAGAATAATTGCGATAGCCAGCAGCCGATTTATGGTCCCGATGCCAATGAGAATATCCAGGAGCCGGTGTATGCGACGCCAAGGCCTGCTCCGCGCCAGCGTATGCCACCCACCGGGCACGAAGTGGATCCCGATCCCGAGGACGAGGATGAGGTGCCACTGAGGATTCTGCGAGCGGCGCCACAGGTGCCGCCTAAGCCACTCAACATCCTGCCCGACCAGCGAGCCTCGATCTGCAGCGAGGTGTCCACCACCAGTACCCATGCCATGGGCAAAGCCGACGAGGATCGGGATGGATCGCGGTACGCATCCAATGCATCGCTGGACTGCAGCGAGAGCTCTCACAGCGGCAAGTTCAAGTCGCAGTCACCCGGGTACGTAGACGCCGTCGATTCATCCATTCCCCAGTCGCTGGATCCAAACGGGGATGATCCACGGGCAGACTCATCCGCAGAACAGTCCTCCGGCAGCCAAGAAGGCGAAGATGACAAGTAAACTTTGACCACTATTTCTACTCTTTGGTTTCTACCCTTTGTCTTGCACTCCCCCTAGTTTTTTGACGGTTTTCCTCTTTTGTTTTTTGGTTTGAAATGGAAACTAACTCTACACGGCACAAATAATTGTTGTTTGGTTTTGAACGATTCCGTAATTTAAGGAAAATGTATAGAAACATACGAAACATTGTTGTATTTCTCAACTTTTTAGATAATTGTTTCATTGCACTTCTTTCAAAAAAGTCGTAACCGTCGGAAAAAAATATTTTTCGTTGGAAAATGTCAGAGTTTTTCTGTGAACAAAGAAAAGCATATTGGCCATTGATTTTTGTGGATTTTCTATAGATATAATATTTTAAAAATTATTATTTTAAACATTATTTTGCACATATTATCTTAGTTGATTCTTGTTTTTTTGTGGTTACGGTTTTAATAATTTAATAAGCACCAACAGAACACAATTTAAATAATAGAGGCAAAGACAAACATCATTTAATAATCACATTTTTGTTTCGACATTACTCTACACATTTTCTAAAGATTTATCTGGTTTAATGGACTATTTTTTTCAGCGAAATAATGTCTTATCGACAATTTGTCAGTGCCTGCGGTTTTTGTTTGTTTGGTATTTTGATGTTAAATGTATATTTTAAAATAGCGCTATTGAAGCATTATTCATATTAAGGAATTTGAGGAAATGAATTATCAGCAGCTGTTTCCCCAAATCATTTACATATCACTTAGGACTATTTCCGGACTAGCGTAAACCCCTAATTTAGTAACGTCTCCTTTAATTTATGTACTTCCCTGCGGAACTGTAGCATGTGCCCCCTCCTTTACCCACTACTTCTGGGTATTTCACTTCCGCCGCCCCCTCCATCGGTAAATCAAGTTGGGGCTGTCGAGTTGCCCCGTCCTTATAAATAGCCTGGCGTCTGCTCAAGATCAATGACAAGCGGAGTTGTCTAAAAATAGTCAGAAGGGAACTATACGATCTGAAGATCGTTTTTCACACTCCAATCGGAGTTTTGTGTGGTCGAGAATTTATTCCAGATCAATTGTTGTGAATACGCGTAAAGAAAAGGAATAGTTTGGGAAACATTAAAATATAAATTATTTATCCTTATGGTAAACATATGGGTCTTAACTGTAGGAAATATTAAGCAATTCCGTATCCTCTTTTATTAGTTATTTTTAACATACGTTTTGACTTGTTAAATTAATTAAAAATTCGTAATTCTAGATTTTCTTAAAGTTTTTTTCGCTTAAGAAAGTGAAATGTTAATAAAATTTTGTTTACAATATTTTTTGGTTACTCGTAGCTCAAATATTTGATGTCTTACGATTAGAGATTAGAGATATTTAAGGAATATATTAATTTTTAAAACGTTTTTATGGGATATGTTTTTGGCTTATCTTGGTTTTTAGATTGGTGAATTCTATCTAATGAATTGAACATAAACCCCTTTTGTGGTCTAACAACTTTAGCTGGATGTTTTTTGGATCTTACCTACTAACCTTCAAGGGAAAGGAATACTTAAACTCGCACGAACCTGAGATAACTAATGAACCCTCTTCTCCGAACCCCTTAGCAACCTGCTGCGATCGCTGGGCACCACTTCCAAGCTACTGGGAGAAGCTATCGGCGAGCGGATCACTTTCAAGGCCAAGGGAGCCAAAAAGCGACTGGACAGGAACCTGAAGAGCTCCACAGAGGCGATCAGCACTCTCGGCGCGGATGCAGGCCGGAGTTTGAAGCACGCCGGCAAGAGATTCGGCTCCAATTTCAGTCTGGGCAGGTCCAAGGACAAGGAAGAGGGCGGTGGCAGCGGGGGTCGGGCAGGAGGATCGGGAGAAATGGATCTGGACAGGCGGCAGACGATGCCCAATACGGAGGTCTTCAATACGATACAGTTCTCGAGTCCACTGAACCGGAACGGTGGTCTCTCCGATCTGCGGGAAAACGATGCGAAGGTCCAGAAGGAGGAGGAAATGCGGCAGGAGCAGGAGGATGACGGCTGCTACGAGGTGCCCAAGGTGCAAGGCAAGCCGCCCAGCTACGATGAGGCGCTGAGGGCACGCCCCTCGCCCAGTGACACACCGCTGGCCAGGAATCTCGCCCAGGAGGCCGCCCAGCTGGTCCAGTTGCGCAGCCAGCGGCAGCTCAGCAGCAGCTCCTCGAACGGCGATGACTTGCCGCGCCTACCCATGCCCGCCTTTCCCCCACCCCGCCTCTCCCAGCAGCCGGAGCAGTTCCGGATGGACGCACTGCAGCCGCCAGTGCGCCATAAGCGCAAGAACTACGAACACATCGAGCTGCGGCGTCCTCCCGTGGACTCCGCCCAGCTGGAGGAACTCAATCGGGCAGCAGAGATGGCAGAGCGCGAGGAATCGCTGCTGATCTCCGCCAAGAATGCCGAGGCGGAGTCCAAGGCCCCGAAGCCCGAACGCAGCGATTCCTGGGAGTTCTACGGTGAGGACGAGACCGAGGAGGAGGAGGAGGATCAGGAGGGCAACTCCTCACCGGAGCCGGTTTACGCCAACCAGGAGGCCACCTACGGCAAACTATTCGAAATGGCCACCGCAGGGAGCAGTCGCAGCAATGTGCTGACCCCCAACCAGGTGGCTGAGCAGCAGCAGCAGCAGCTCGCCTGCATCACCGAGGATGCGGAGTTGGATGGCGGCGAGGGTGCGGTGGGAGGTGTTCCCCTGCCGCAGGCGCTGATCGAGGAGTTTGATCCGCTCTCCAGCAAGTGTCCCACGCTGGCCAGGTCGAACAAGAGCAACGAGCTGCTGCTGCTGGAGCACCTGCTCGAGGAGGACACCTACGGCACGGTGAAGACAGAACAGGACGATGTCAGCATGTGCACCTCCGAGGAGGAGCCGACCACGACTAGTGCCACGACCCCAACGAAGATCCATCAGCCGCAGATTGTGCACCAGAATGCCCATCTGCTCAGCGACAGCATGGAGAACATGCTCGATTCGGATCAGGAGCGGATCAGGGACGAGGAGCGCGCCAAGCCCTATCTCAGCCGAACGCCGGAGTCGGCCAGCAAAGGTGGCTTGGTGGACTTGGCCAGTACCTCGCGGAACCGCACCAATTGGTTTGTGCCGGACAAGGCTGGTGTGTCCGATGCAGCCAAACCGTCCGCCACCAAAACATCGCCCCCCATCGAGGGCGACAGTCCACCCACTTACCTGGAGGCCATCGGGGGCAGCAAGGAGTCCGTCAACAGTCAGGAGAATCGCTCCACCATTGGCGCACGCTTCCGTCAAACCATCAGCGCCTTTTCCAACGTGAAGCTGCGCATGGACGCCATGAAGCGAAAGGCCAGCTTCCGAGCCAATCAGCGGCAGTCGGACGTCAAGGTGGCCCTGCAAATGGTGCCCAGACCCAGCCTATCGCCCCTATTAATCCGCTACGAGGGCCCGCTGGTGCGTTTCCCCACCGGCGTCGTGGAGGACATACTCAAGGAGATGCAGAACCGCAAGGCCATACTCAGAGAGCGCCAGTTTCAGACGTTCCTCGACCAGGAGATGAAGACGCCCAGAGAGGTGATACCCCTGGACACGATCACCACGCTGCAGTGTGTGAGCAACAGTCGCGTCACGGATACGGCCACCCATTTCTACTGCTTCGAGATCACCACCTCGCAGCCGAAGAACGGCAATGGAGCGGGCGATACCATGTCCTCGAATCCCAATCTCCTGATGACCAGCAACTCGTCGGGCAATGTGAAGCAGCAGCGGGTCTCGCATCTGTATGGTGTGGGCAAGGAGTCGGAGCGCAGCGTCTGGATGCAGAAGATCCTCGAGAGCTTGACCAACAGTCTGCCGGTGAAGTACACCTGCCACTATTATCGCGCGGGATGGTGTTACCTCAAGGTAAGTTCTGTTGTTCTGATGTATCGTAGTATTCTAATTGAGTTAATATCTGCCCGGCAGAATTCCATCACCTCGGAGTGGAGTGGCACTTGGTTGGTGCTTCGCAAGAGTCAGCGACGTCTGATCTTTGTGAGCGAGGCCAACGGCAATGTGGAGAAGTTGGACCTGCGCAAAGCCCGCTGCATAGGTAAGGGATCCTTTAAATAAGCACAAGAAGTCAGACCAATTTAAGCAACACGGTGTATCGAACAGTGCTGAAGGAGAGCGACGACTCCATCGACAATCTGCACGTGGAGAGCGGCCCCATGCTGATGATCGACTGTCCCCCCTATGCCGTCTACATGATCATGAGCTCCGCCCGGGAGACGAAGATCTGGCGGCACATCATTCGCGAAGTGGCCCACAACAATGGCTTCTCGCTGGGCGATCAACAGCTGACCCGCTACGATGTGCCCGTAATTGTGGACAAGTGCATTAACTTTGTGTACATCCATGGCTCCATGTCGGAGGGTATATACCGCAAGTCTGGCTCGGAGAACTCTATGCACAAGCTGATGAGCGCCTTCCGGGCGGACGCCTTCAATGTGGAGATCACCCGTAACGAGTACAACGAACACGATGTGGCCAATGTGCTGAAGCGCTTTATGCGCGACCTACCCGAACGATTGCTGGGCAAGCTCACGGACAGCTTTGTATTTGTCACGGAGCTGGCGGTGGCCACCGAGAAGATCCCTATCTACCGAGAGCTGCTCGCCAGACTGTCCGCCATCGAGCGCGAAACGTTGCGTCGGATTGTGGGGCATCTGGTGTTTATCAGCTCGCAGCAGGCCAAGAATAAGATGAGCATCCAGAACCTTACCATGATCTGGGGACCCACGCTGCTGGCCAAGAAGGTAATTAAAACGAATGAATAATAAAAAATATTAAACAATGTTCAAACCTATTTTATTTTTCTGTAACGGAAAAAGTAAAAAACCGTGTACAGCATTAAGAAGAGATATTTATGTTTCTAGAACCTTTAAAAGTGTATTATACAATAAATTTATTAGATTTAAACAAGCTAGCTGTGAAATAATTTACGACGAAAGGCATATATCAACATTAATTGGATTCTAACAAAATGCTAAAAAATAACATTGTTTATTATATTTGTTTTTAATTTCCTTGAGCACTCATTCCAATAATGTTTTAAACAAAAAATATGTTGTGTTATAAAATAAGCTTTTACTAATAAGTTTCCTTTTTCTTTAATCCATAGAGCGACGAGCTAATCTACTCTCAGAAGGAGGCCGATGTGCTCAGCGATCTGATAGTGCTCTACAAGAATCTATTCCCGTGCAGTGCCGATGAAATGGTGAGCTTTCCCAAAAGTCAAATAATATGTACATTTTAAATTAAATGAAATCATATATTTTTATGTAGAAACGGGAGCAGGCCATGCTGGCATGTCTTCAGAAGTATTATGCGGCCGCCGAAACGCTCAAAGATGCGGTGAAGCAGTCCGGTGACATCAAGATCTGGATCAGCCTCAATCCTAATCCTGATAACAAAACAGAGGTGGGGTTCGATTATTTCCGGCAAAGATTTATTAAAAATACATTTAAAAGCTCAGAACTTCAAATAATATATCAAGACTTTTAAGAATGTTATGGTTTTAAATACAATATAAAAAACATTTTTTTAAAATCGTAATATATATATTTCAAAATGTAATGTTTACTTTGTACGGAGTAATTTACCAATTTTTTATTTTAATTCTTGTCAACAGGAAAAGACGCAAGTGAACGCCACCATTTCGCCCACTAAGACCGCCTACGAGCTGTGCCGTGAGTACTCCGCCAAGATGCAGCTCCCCACCCACCAGTTGACCCTGTACGAGGTGATCTTGAACGACAGCTTAGAGCGTCCATTGCACCATGACACCAAAGTATTCGATGTGATCCTAAATTGGTCCTACTGGCCGGAGGAGGATCGCAAGCACAATTACTTGGTGGTGCGTCCGGTTGAGATGTTGTGCGAGATCCAGCGAGTAGTGAAGAATCTAGCCACTTTAACGCCCGGCAAGGAGCTTCGTTTTGCCGACTCTCGCACCAAGACCTTTAAAACGCTGCAATGCGAGCTGCGGGACGGAAAGATTGTCGTGTCTAAAAAGGACAAGAACGACAAGACGACCATCGTACGGGAGGTATTCCTGCAAAGCAGCACGGCGTATTTGGGCTGCGAGCGGAAGCGAGATTTTCCCTGGAGCTGGGCTATAACCTTTGTGGAGCGGACGCAAGCCCAGATCATGAGGTGGGTTATAAAACAGTTCTTCAACTGAAATAAGATAAATAAATAATTTATATCTCTGCCCCTAAAGATCGCACGATGCTCCCTTCATTGGCCACGTGCTGGCCGGCAGCGAGTGGGTGGACCGAACCATCTGGTACTCCAGCATCTGGTACTCCCTGTACAAGGACAATATCCTGCCGCCGGCGGAGATCATCATCAAGTAGCTGCCAAACATAGTTTAAACCGCTGTCTTGTGCATTTTTTCTGTAGGTCTCGTGTAGATATTCTGAATTTATTTGTAATAATTAGGGAATATTTTGCAATTTTTTTATGGAACATTTCGATAATTTTGCAATATTTTAAATCGGTTAAGAAACGATGATGTTTTTTTTTACACATTTTCTGTAAATAATTATGTTCATTCAAAACCAAATTGTACATATGCTTAAGAAATTTTAACTTAATAATTAAGAACATGCCATTTGTCTTCAATATAGCTCGATTCCTGAAATATCTAGCGTTTTACTAGACATGAGGAACCAACTATTAGTTAGGCTCGGCCGCGCAAAGCATCAAATTGTAGCTTAGTAAATGATTTCGTAATATATTTAATGCAATTTTTATACAAATCCGTTGCAATTGGTTTTCGATTTATGTATTGTATATTTACATTTAACCCCATTCAAATTATTGTCTACACAATCCAGAGTTGAGAGAATCATTTAATAGTAATAAATCAAATTTATATACAAATATGAACAAAACTATCAAGTGATAGTTTTACACTTTTATGGACAAGGTGGGGATATCTATTAAGTGTTTTTCCGGATTTTGCCCAAAATATTTAGCAAATTATCATGTTTTATTTCGAAAATTGGCCACTGGTTTGAATATTTTATAAACAATTCAAAAAGGTATGAGATTCCAACATTCGACAACTATTTTCCAGGGTTTTGATTAAATAATTTAAAAAAAAATTTAGCTGTGAATGTCACTAGATTGGAAATTTTATAACAAATTCAACGAGGTATGAACACTCCAACATAGGACAATTATTTCCCAGGGTTTTGATTAAAAAACCGAAAAGTCAAGCTGATTTTTACGGATTTTGGCCAAAGTATTTTTCCTAAGGGGATTTTTTGCGAGGTACGACATTTCATATGTTATACATTATTTGCTTTGTTGTGGCCAAAATACTAATTTGTTGTATTCAAAAAATAAAGAACTTTAGGATTAAAAACAGCATCAGGACTTTGTTGTTACTTTGCTAAACAGTGACATACAGAGATTTAACTCTTAACTCCCAGAAAAAAGCAAACACTCATCTTGAATATCACTAAAATTTTGCAAACTGCATTTTATTTGTTATTTATTTTTTTGTAGTTGTTTTATCATGTTGCTATTTTGTGGATTTAGTATTTCAAGGACATTATTTCCTTTTGCTTGAACTTCACATACATAGTCGATTTTGTTGTTTGTTGTACAATACATAAAAAGAAATATGCTTGTTATATATCTATAGTATATACGCTTGTTATTATGTAAATATATAGTCGCATAGGGTGTTAAGTACATTGATCAAGTAAACATGATTTGACTAATTTTAGTGTACCTTCGGTTAGAGTGAGATGGGGTACAAAAGCAGGAATCCGAGTGAGAGGGCGAGTGTGTGTGTGGGTGGTGGGTGGACAAGGAGATTGGTGGACAGATCAGGTGGGCGACTACGAATCTTAACCTTTGCGGGGGGATAACAAATTTTGAACATACACTTAATCGGTATCAATATTTTTTACACTAACTAAATATACAAATCAACAAACGCCAAAAGAAGGACCTCAACATGGTTAGGATCGGCACTCAAAGATCGGGACTATATATACATCGAGTGGGCCGCGAGACCAATAATAGAGAGAGAGAGAGCAGGACATACATATTTTTGCTTTTATTTTAACGTTCTTTTCTTCTTTTAACCGCTGCGACATTTATAGTGCTGGCAAAAGTCTAACCTAGTCGTTATATTTTTAGCATATGTATATTATATATATATATATAACTAGAGGAGGACACTGGGCACCTCAAGCTTTTAACAAGTTCTCTAATGTTAGATCAAAAAAAAATCATATTAATATTATAATGAATTATTAATAGGAAGAAAATTATACAATCGTAATTGTTGGTTGGGGGCCGCTGGACAGGATTGGGCACGGGCGTGTAAGTGGTTGGTGACGGTGACTATAGATGGTGGATCGGGGTGGTGGTGGTGGTGGTTTTGGTGGTGCTGTTGGGTGGATGACGGATAAGTAGTAAAATGCTTAGACGTATAAATAGGCTTTCCTAATGTTAGTATGTAATAATCACATTGACTGCTGCCATTGCCTGTTCGCTGCCTGCCCTCTACCCTATCCTCTGTGTCTGCGGACTACATGTGATGCCACTGCGTCACCGCCACATTGGTGTTGTCGTTCAGCCGGGCGATCTCCTCGTGCAGCCCATGGCCCAGCCACTGCAGAAAGATCCTGCTGTAGGCCGCCTGGCAGAGTCTCAGCGGATTGCCGCGCCGTAGGCCCATATCCGTCTCGCCGTACTCGTCCAGATACGGCGGCTGAACGAAGCATCCCTTACCGCGCCCCAGATACACCACCTGGCAGTCGCGGATGCGCAGGAAGATCCCCACCTCGGCGCCACAGGTGTGAGCGTGATGGGTGCACGCGCCCACCGTCAACTTGCCCAGCTCCGGCTGGCAGCAGTACGACTGGCCGCACAGGATCGAACCGCAGATCAGACACATCGTCGGCGTCTTCATCTCCTCGCGTTCGTTGTTCGGGCAAAAGATGTCCGAAACGCTGTTGATCAGATCACTGTAGTCATCGTACAGTGGTATCAAGCGCGGCAGCGGGCGCAGGCAGGGTTCCAACTGCAGGGAGCGACTAGCCTTCGGCTGGCAACGTTCCTCCACCTCCCGGGAAATGTGCGGATGCGAGGCGAACGAGTGCATCATCGTGGCGTACACCGTCTCCATGTCAAAGTACACGCCCAGTTGAGGGTCCAGGCCCAGGTATTGGCACATCAGCTCGAAGCGATCCGGCTGATCTGTGGGAAACGTGTCCGGGAAGTCCACATCGGTTAGACAGCGATAGAAAAGGCAGGCGCAGCGCAGGAATGAACCCATCTGACGCTGCATGTACTCGAGGAGAAGGGCCAAATGGTGCAATTCACAGGGTATCACCACTGTCTGCACTGGCCCCTGCTCCTCATCCTTCCGATCCTCCGCCAGCTGTGCTTGCGTATTCTTTTGCAGCACTCGGGCCGGGATGTTATAGCGGCGATAGAAGGCCACCATGTTATCCCGAATCCTCGACGGCAACTGCTCGACGTAGGACAATTGCGTAAGTTCGGCATGTGGCGTCTCTGCCGTCCGTTTGGCCTGTTCCTTTTCCACATCAAAGCAGAGGACCGCCTTAGTCAGGTGGGCCAGGAACATAGTCTGCAGGATGTAAAAGTCGAACATGCTGCCGCTGGGTATGATGGTTTGAGGTGCTGTCATATGTAGGAAAAAAAAAGGTGAATTACTGCCGATTAATGGATTAATTTCGCCACTCACCATTCTCGCCGAACATCAGATTAAGCACTCCGAACTGGAACGGCACCAGCACGCGGAAGCAGTCCCACTCCAACACACTTGTGCCCTTCTGATTGAAGACGGTGTCCAACAGTTGGACGGAGAACTTCGCCTGGAACTCGCTTACGGGCGAAGCCGAGAAGCGCGAGCACGCTCTCACCAAATTGAGGGCACAGCTCTGGTGGCGCATCGGGAGCTCAGCCTTCAGCGGCTTCTGCACCTCGAACAGATAGATTTCTAGCGCTTGCAGGGTGTAGCTGCACGTGTCCCAAAACAAGGGCACCATTTCAAGGCTATCTGCGGCCAATGCAGGGCCGGCTGGATGGTCTTTTTGAGTCGGCTGTTGACTTTGCGTGGCATTCAGCAGGGCCTTGTTTAAGAAGGCCCTTACATCGCTGTAGTTGGCATGCAACTTGGGGGAATCATGGATCATTTGGACGCTCCGCTCGAACTGCGCCATGTCCGCGACGACACCGGACATCCGAAGGAGGTTCGAGAAGCTCGGTAGCCGGGTGGAAATTTCCCCGTCCTTCATGGGGCCCAGCTCGACGGCCAGTGTGCGCATGATCTCCAAGAAGCTATCCAACGGCAGATAGCTATCGGTCGCCGAAGGTACCGGCGAAAAAGATGGCAGCGCTTCAATCACCGGAAGCACAGTGTTACTCAGGGTCCGACAATACGGACAGTGGAACTCCACGTTGTGCGCCTGACTCTGGGCCGCGCGATTGCGGTGCGGACGACGCTGCTCCTTGGACTCCTCGTTGCTGTAATATTCCTGCCAGCAGCTGTAGTGCATCACATGGCCGCAGCAACTCATGTGCAGGGCACTCTGGCTTGCACGCATATTGGGTGTGGTGAAGATCACCCGCGAGGTCTGGACGAAAGCAGAGCTAACCAACGGGGGACCGCTGCGGCTGATGGCACAGTTATCGAAACACAGGATGCACTTGAAGTTGCTATCACTGCCCTGGTAGAACTTGCGCTCAGGTCCCAAACAGGCGACGTTTGGAATGAGGGCCACCGCTCCCTGCTCCTCCTCGGCCGGTATATCCTCCCACTCCATGGCACCCGTGGCTGCCGCGTTCTCTCGCGTATCCTTGTCCTTTTCGTTGGCCGCAAACAAATCTGCATTGACCTTCATGAACGACTCTTGGGCAGTCTGCATTTGAGCCATTATTTTGGCCCGACGTTCGGCCGCCAAACGGGTGCGTACTTCTCTTTCCTGGCGCACCTGCTCCTCGGAGCTGACCGGCTGCTCCTCCTCCACGGCGCTTTGCTGCATGCCCTTCGGTCCTGCTTCGCCTTCACTAGGCGCCTGCTTGGTCTGCAGCTCCTTGTACCGCTTGATCGTCCACAGCACAAAGTCTCGATGAGCCTCCAGCTAGCCGGGCGATTAAAGTAAAGAGGTTATTGGTTTGTCTATTTCTATAAGCCAGATTCCTTACCCTGGGACAGCGGGCTAGCTCGTCCAACTTCTCCAAAATTCCGTACTGCTGCGAACGCTCGTAGAAGCTCAGGAAGGGATAGTTCTCGCTCAGCTCCTCCTGAATGGCGAAGCCCAGCAGGTGAAGGATCTATAAGACATGAATACACAAAATAAGATGTTGCGAAACATAAATGCAATACGATTACCTTCTGGAGATGCGATTCGGTAAAGGAGCGACTGCGCGCATCCAAAGCCCGATCCATTATCAAGGTGCAGATGTTGAGAAACACGTTGCACTGCAGAATATTGGCCATGGATCTGTAAGGGCCATACATAAGAACGTGCAGATATATTAAGACCTATTTCCGGGAGACTCACGTGAAGGCTGGTGTGAGCTTCGGCAGCATAGGCGGCGGGCAGCAGACGAGCTGCTTCTTGGCCTTGCGCCGCTCACGCTGCAGCTCCTCGGCCTTGGACTTGTCCTCCTTGGTGTAGTGATAGAAGTACACGTTGAACTCCTCGTACAAATGCTCCTTCAGCTCGTACACCCCCTTGCTGTCGACGCCGACGGGCTTCTTGAAGACGGCCACCGTGTTGATTACGTCTTCGAAGATGTTGTCGCTATTCCCACCATTGCTGTCCGGCAAAGCGCGACTAAGCTCCGAATGAGAGTAGGACTTGGTGCACAACAGCTGGATGATCTCCTTGCGCAGCCGATCCTCCTCCGTTACAATCGAAACGCCTGGCATCCAGCGTTCTCCGATGATTACGATCAACAGTTCCAGGAACTCGTCAATCATCGATAGCTGTCGCATGAATTCATCGTCCACGGGATTCTCCGCCAACATAGTCTCGTAGTTCGCCTGCGCCCATGCAATCAAATTGAACTTGTTCAGCACATGGATGAGGAACTCGTTGCTCTCCATCAGGGACCCGCCAATTTGCAGGCAGACAATATCCCTATCCAGCATCTCCACGCGGCAACGCACATTCCGATAGAAGTAGAGCTGGTGAAGCAGAGAGTAGCCATTGCGGCGCCACATGCCCGCAGCCACCTGGGCGATCATTGCATGGGTGCACAGAACTGGTTCGATAATTTCTCTGGGCGTCAGCTTTATGCTCAGCGCCTCCGTTTCCGCCTGGAGGCTGTCGTAAGTCATATCGTGGGCGCCTAAATGCAGATAGATACCGGCGTAGAACCGCGACAGGGGTAGGTGGATGGACACCGGCTTCACCGATACATCGTACATCAGGCAGCTGGCCACATAACCGGCCACACTCCGTGGCTCCGTCTTCTCGCCGCCCACGATGAAACTGTTGCCCACCAGCGACCGCAGAGTCATCTTGTAGAGCTTGCGCAGCAGCCACACATCGCCGGCAGCCCAATCGATAACCTGGGAGATGGTCGTGGCCAGCTTGATGTGCAGATTGAAGGCGCACTCCCACTCCGGCTCGTAGTCCATGTGCTGGCCCGTCTGCCTGGTTATCGACTCCATGCCCTGCATAACGTTGAGGACCCGCATCAGAGCACGGCAGCCTTCGAGGAAACCGCTCCTCAGATCGTTACTTAGCACTTCCGGCTTTAGGCTGAGCAGATACCGCAGATCGTAGAGAATGTAGTTGGCCCGCTTGAAGAAGGTCAGGCTGGCGATGTTCTTGCTAAAGTGCAGCGTCTTGTTCTGGATAAATTTCTCGATGGCCACGTGGTAGAACGTGTGCAGCAGCTTGCCGAAGATTCCCTCATGGGCGATCAGGTGATGTGCGATGCTGGGAACCGTAAACAGTTGAACGCTGAGCGAAACTATCGAAAAGGCGTGGTCGTGGTCGTCGCTGATGAAGTCCTCCACAATGGTAGCGTAGCGGCGCGAGAACTCCTGGGCGAGCACCATCTTGTTGTCGTATTCCATAAGCATGCCTGAGATGAGCAGGCGGTGCCAACAGGCTCGCGCTGTCTTCCACAGCTTCACATCATACTCGAGGATGTGCCGGATGCAAAAGCTCTCCTGCTTGCGCTGCACCAGTTCGGAAAATGTCTTCCGGAAGAGGTAGTGCCGCACCAGGAACTCCTGGAACCAGCCAAGCAGCTGCAGGGCAAACTGCTGGCAGGCCACGGCCCCGATGTGCAGCACCGATGTCCTCAGCGACTGATTGTTGCGCGGATTTGACGGTAAAGCGCTCGCTGGCATCATCTGATTTTCGATAGCCGTCTTCAGGTCGTTGCACACCTAATAAAAAACAATCCCAAATTAATCCAAACTAAGTGAAAACGTTATTGGGAATAATAAGACGTTTAGCTTACCTTAAAGGTGTCGCACTTGACGACGGCCCGTCCCTCGCGATCGATCGCCGCCACAATCTCCATGGCGTCCTTCTGCCGACATTTGACAATCTTGGTCAGTGTCTGGATCACCTGGTCGAACGTGTGCGACTCATCGTTGTAGAGCACCGTGCAGTACTGCGCTCCATCCAGCTCGCCGTCGAGGCACTGTAGACTGGCGTTCGGCTCGATCTCCAGGTAGTTCACGCAGAATGCGAGGATCGCCCCAAAGCAGATCTCAGCCCGTTCCAGCACAGCTTCCGTTAGGATCTTACTCTCCAGCGGGTTCTTGCGATTCGCCTGGGGACAAAAGTGTAAAGAGCGTTATAAATAACACTTGTTGCTAGTCTAGAGGATATAATCCTTGTCGGTTTAACAAAGAACATTCCACGTATGACTTCAAATATACTTTAGATGGTACTGACCAGATGCAGCTGGCAGTAGTGATCCTTCTTCCAGGCCTCGTCGTCGCCGCAGTCGCAGCAACCGCCGCCGCCGGAAGTGGACATCTTGTACTTGTGGAAGCGGTGCGCCGAGCGCTTGAAGCAGTTGACGCAGAGGACGCAGGTGGGATCGACGCCGCACTCGCGGCAACTGTAGGTGGGCTCCCCGTTCTTGAAGACCTTGCCGCAGACGGTGGCCGTGTTGCCCTCCAGCCGGAGCTTCTCCAGTGCGGAGGCGGGATTGTCGCCCAGCATGAATTCCACAAACACATCGATGATCTCCTCCTTGGCAAGCGCTTCCTTGAACATGCACTTGACTGAAACGGACAACACGCCATTAGTTAAAACCAAATCGAGTGTATTTAATGAGGGATTTTCGATGAAATGCGCAATGGAAAGCATAGCGGGTGTGTGGTCGTGGCGCACTGATCCACTCCAGACTTACGGGAGCCATGGATCGCACCCCGCTTGCTCTCCTGCAGTCGCTTGATATCCGACACCAGGTTCAAATTATGGTGGGTCAAGTGGAGCAGCTCCTCGATGCGCAGATCCGCCGCGACTAAGGGGTCGTCGGCCCAACCAGTCCCATTGTGCTCACGCCCGCAGGACGGACAATTCGCCACACGACAGCCCGCATGATTGGAATGGGTTTGGATGATTGGATGGTTGGATTGGGTTGGATGAATAAGTTAATGGGAAAGGATTAAGGGTTATACCGTTAGTGCGAGATTATGCAGACCAAATTAATAGTGTTGAATTATGGTGTCATATGGGTTTTGTTAGTGGGCTACCAGGAAGATCCCCGCAAACGTTGGTTTTCTATTTCAAAAATCCTTTTACGTTTGTCATAATACTTACGAGTAAGCGCATTGGTATCTGCAGGAAAAAAATATAATAAAAAAAGGTTAGAACTTTATTTGTAATTGACAAAACTAAAAACATTTTAAAGGGCGGCCCTATTTATATGAACATGGTCCTACTCTGACCCGCTTTTACTATTCGCGTTTGTGCACTTAGGGCATATCAAAATAAATTCGTTTTTTGTCTACTCATCGGCTTTTAAATTGGTCCATCCTAATGTACATAGTATTCATTAATTTAAATTTTCCAAAGAAATACCGTGTGAGTCAGGTTTACCAAATACTGCCAAATTTTCATTCATAAGTTTTTTTTTATTATCTTGTTTAAGTACACAGCCAATTTTTCGTTTTTTTATGACCCTTAACTGCGCGAAGTCCATTTTTGCGCCCCAATAAACAATTTTTATAATTATTTATTTTCCTTAAAACTATGGTTCGGCCTAATAAAATGGGTTTATATAAATTGCCTATTATTATTGTTGTAAAGTTTTGATATGTCTAAATAAATTTTGGTTAAATGAAACTATAGACGGCTTAAAGACTTCCCATATTAAAATTATAATTAAACGCACTGACTCATTTGTACATATGTACATATTGTCATCTTTTGTTTTTATAGCTTTTTAAGGCCATGAGTAATGCAATCGCGATCATAGCCAGACTAAAATATCATTTAAATGTTTAGAACAGGTCAGACCGCACGGCATGGAGATAATGATCGTGATCGTGATCATGATCGATACTATTTTATTGAGGTTGGGCGACCGCAAAAGAGAACCGGAGGCGAAGACGAAAAGAAACCTTCGGGCTAAACGAGTTTTCGCAACCAAATCAACACAAAACACACAAAACGAATTCGAAATCAAATGCAAATACAAAGCACCATTACAACAAATGCAGTTCAAGGTCGCCACAATTGCTGTAAACTCTGCAGCGCAGAATCAAAAATTGAGAGCGATAAGTTTTCATTATAATCTATTATCAACGCATCTGACGTATGTACAGTTCAGGGCTATCAGTAAAAATATAACAACACATACCTGTTGCCTACAAAGTCTACAATGCACATCAAGTAAATAACGATAGGATAGAAAAGTCTAGAAATATATTATTTATAGCAGTACTTAAAGTACAATAGTAACTTTTCCAGATAATGTTCAAAAATTTATCAATCGATATGTATAATAGCCGAACATAAGTTTTTACCTTTTAACTACTGTGCCTCAATTTAAATATCATAGTATAATTACTTGAGATCGATAATCATTCATCCATCTCTCAAGATATTATTTATTTATTGACCCAATGTGAAGGTTGAAAAATGAAGTTATGGTGGAATAAAACATTTTACAACTATATTTAAAGGTATAATTATAAATGCATATAAAACTGCGTGTGCGTCAGTGTACTGAGGCGTAATAGACTGGAACAAAGAAGGTGGCGCATGGAACGACAAAGTATATTTAAAGAAGGAAACAGAACCGAGCAGATGAGAATCGAACTGAAATGCACTAAACAAAAACATGTAACAGAGGAGGCCAGGCCACCTCATCGGCCCCTGAATCACAGCGAATTATTCGGGAGCAGTCCACACGCAGTCTCACACTCACAATCGAATGCAGTATGCACTTTCATTGACTTTCCTCTGTAGACAATACTTAATATTATAAGTTTAGTTAACGCATCATAAGACTTTATAAGTAAGGTTGTTACCCTTGTTCTGAACACAAAGGACTTCAAAAAACTTTAAAACAAGACGTCATCGGAGGTGATTGAATTTAAAAAGTATACACAATTTAAACGGAATTTAAATTAATTACAAAAAATAACAAGTACAGGTTTCAGAGAAACGATCTTCAAGCAAATAAATCTGAATAATTATGGACCCTCTTATTTTTTTTTTTGTTTGGGATAAGCATGGATTTCAATTTCGTTACCAACTGTATGCACATTTTCGATATCAAGAAAAACACAAGCTGTCGGAAATTTAAAGGCGCCCCAAATAAAATTAAATATAAAAAAGGAACGAGAGCGCCAAAGATCGTTATAAAGAACATTTGTGTTTTCGGCCAGGGTATGTGGGCAATCGACCTTATATAAATCACAATAAATACAGACACCAACATATGTACACCTCTGTAAATTATAATATGTGCGCTTGCAAATAGCTATGCCTAAAATTGTGTCAGCTGTGTTGTTTTATTGCACAATGAAACGAAAGCAAAAACGGAATTAAAACAAATTCTTTTGGCAAATATGAGGAAAACAATAAAAGAAAGAAATACCAGTTTCGGGAGCCAACCTCATGAAATGTTTTTTCGATATTTTAAGACTCTTATTTCAAGCGACAATGTATCCAATTTATAATAGATTTGAAGGGACCAGCACACAGTGTATTTTACACCACTTTGCCAATTTAGAGTAGCATTCCTTAAAAGGCAATTAAAGGACCGTTTTCCAAAGAACATATTAACTATTTTGGCTTAGTAAACTACCTAATCTTATAACAGTTTGAAACATTACATTATCAACGAACCAAGCAAGGGAATACTTCTACCGAAATAATAAAATGCCGATTTGAAAATGACACATGTATGATATGAACGCACTGTTCCAGAACACAATGACTGTTACTATAAGTTGAATATTACTAACACTTATAAGCCGATTAATCATAAATGGATAAGAATTACAATGCGTTCTGCCAAGGACCGACACGTCAGGCGGCTGTAAAGGCCGCTACAAAATATGCGACTGGACCAGATAAACGCGAGTTGAATAAACTCCCTCCGAACACATATTTTATATATTTAACTTTCAGTCTTATCAGTCATCCTCTGAAGTCAGGGGTTTGGTTTTCACCTTGTGTTTCGTCATTGGCAGCGAGATTTTAATGAAGTGCTGGACTACGGACCAATTAGACAGCAGGCAAATATCAGTAGGAGCTAAATATAGGGGCTATAGCTATGGCAACCGCACCAAAATCGGTAGCCATGCCATCCACATGTTTGCCAGCTGATAAGCGCAGAGAGCCGTGAAAAGAGTAAGGGGTCGATTAGCGAAAGCGGAAAGTAAACATCAAAAATATACGTATTACAAAGAAGGGATTATTGAATTAGTCTGGGGGATAAAGAAGAATTTATGAATTATATTTATAAATTAAAAAAAAATACGAACAAAAATTGACTAATATTCTATTCTTTAGAATGCTTCTGGCAATTAACAATGCTCCGTGAAATATTGTCATATTATTTTCGATTAAACAAATAAACTTTTCTCTAGCAACGAATGCTTGATATCGCAAATCATAAACATATTTGTCCCACATGGAGTATGTCATATAGCATACACATTGCTTCATATTTCCTTGAGTATCTGCCCTCTCCCATTTTGCATTTCCTATTAAATCAATATGTTATAAACAGAAACTCAACTCCAAATTAGTAATGCCACAAATGTTTTTCCTAGATTCTCCCAATTTGTTTGTTTCAATACTCGCGTTTCGCCTTTATCTTCGGATAATGTGAACTTCTGTCGGAATGTGGCGCAAACTAGTTTGTTTACTTAATTTATTTGTTGTCAAGCCAGGCCAGGCTTTTGTTGAATCAACTTGCATACACTCAGCAAAAAAAGAAGTAATTTCCCATACAAATTGTATTTGATGTAATTAATGAATTAATGTAAAAGTATTAAACACGATTCTAGCGTCAGGATACCAAAGAAATAAATGTAAATATATTTATAGCCCAAAAAATATTTACATTTTAAATACATTTTTTAAGGAAATGTTTTCTAAGTTTAGTGATTTTTTTTGAACGCAATCGGTTATATATCTACCAGAAATTACATCTTTTCAGAGATATAAAATATTTACAATTTAAAAACTTAGTTGTTCATATAACCAAACAGATAAATTAAAATAATTCGTCATTGGAAAAAAAATTTTTTAATTGAAAATGGTTTTAAACTTTTTAGCAACTATTTTTAACATGATAAGCAAATAAAAATGTGTAGTTTATAAAGAGAATAACCGCCTTAAAAGTTATGGGGCGACATAATATTTTTCGGGGTGTACGAGTTGTGAGTGTGCATAGAAGGTGAGACAGGTAGAAAAGTGAGAAGGTGGATGGGCTGGGCGGGGGGTGGAGCTGGCCAACTTTGAGAGCCAATTGAAAGGAAAACTTGGCGCAGCAAAGCACGGCGCAGTGAAAAAAAAAAACAAATTCGCGGAAATGCGAAATAGACAAAACGTGAGAGCAACAACAAAATTAACAAAAGCGTGCAATTGTTCAATGGCAATAAACAAAAGCCGAAAGCAGAACGAAAATAACACTAAAACATACGGCGAATAATGATAATTCAAGAGCGAGAGTTTTTAATGGGATTCGGGCAACATTTCACGCCCCCATCGATTTGGCATTATTCGAATAATATACCACTTTTTCTGTTTAAAAAATTATGAGAGATTGTAAGTACATTTTAAACCATGTTTGCTTATATATTTAATTGCACAGCAATGATTTCGGCCTGTTTTCTGATAGCAGTTAATAGTTATTTTAAGTTTGTTTTAAAATTTTGATAGGCACTTTTGAAAAATATTTGAATTTAAAATAAACAAGAAATAACAATCGAGGTTGTTTTGTTCGAACTGTTGTTTATATTCCAATATCAAACTATAGATAACTAACCTCCTTCCAAAGAAAAGGTTAACCGTGTTTCCTTTTCATTAATTTTTAATAAAATTAAATCATAAAATATTGACAGAGTTCAACGTTCAGTGCATTAAGCCATTGAAACCCCAAGGATGGTATTCTTTTGTTCTTTTAAAAATGCCATGTTGATGTCACAAAGAGTATGACTCATTTTTGTGACATCTGTATTCCTTTTTTTAGTAAGTTTATTACATTTTCAGACTTTTTTTTAAATAGAGATACAAAGATCAGCTGTTAGCTAAAAGCAAATTACAATAAGGAAAACTTACAGGGATTCTGCGTTATAGCGTTTATTTTTGCCAAATTAATATGCTGCTGATAATGTTAATATAAATATTTTCTATTGACTACTAGATTTCTGTATTATTTTGTATCTTATATTGTCTTTATAAACGCATTTCCTAGAATCTTTGTATGGTTCTAAAACTAAAACAAAAAAAAAACTGTTTGTTGAACTTCCTGAATTTGTTGATCAACCTATAAAAATTCAAAACAAAAACAGCTGTTGACTGAGCACAACAACGGAACTTTGAAGCGATTCTGCGTAATAGCGCTTAATACTGCCATTCACATAAATATAAATATTACTTATATTGTCTATATTATCTGTATTGCCGGACGCAGTTACCTAGCTTAGTGGCGTTCATACCGACAGTTGCTACTTAAGAGGCACCTATTTAGGGGCAATATCATCAGGAACTCGGACTCACCTGGCTCCCTACCGCTCAACTGGTAATCGAAGTACTTGGGCGACTCGCGCTTGAAGAACTCGATGAAGTCGGAGCGGGCGAGGGTGCCCGCTTGAAGCTTGAGGCGCCACTCCTTCAGCGGTGAACCGCACTCGGCAGGAGGCGCCACCACGACGTCCTCCATGTCGTACCGATCCATGGTTACTCTCGTTCGCACTCGCTCTGCTGCCTGAGCTCCTCTCTCTCTTTATCTCTATAGCTGTCGCTCCGGGTTGAATGACAAAAACAAAACAATTGCAACGAGTGGCGGGTGAGCGTAAGTGGAACGTCTGCCGTTTTTTTCTCTCCTGCGCGTGGGTGGCTTGTGTTGTATGTCCTTGTCCTTGTTATTCCTGTGGTTGTTGTTGCTGCATTTGTTGTATATTTATTTGCCTAAACTTTGCTACCAAAAACTAAAAAAAAAAATTAATCAACTAAAGAAAGCAAAGAAAACTTGGGTAAAGCTCAAAGGAATGAAATGTGCTCTCGCTCTCTTTTGTTGCTCTTTTTTGTGGTCGAATTTCGATTTCCTTTTGGAGCTCTGACTAACACATACACTTACTCCTAATAATTTATATTTACTACTGAGGTGATTGTAGAAATCTGACAATCGTATCGGAGGACATTAAATGAAAAGCAAGGCGCAGTTTGCAACTGTTGCTTTGAAATTTTTTCTGTGTATCCGCCATGTGTGGTTGTTTTTGCATTTAGTTTTTTTGGCAGCAAAACAAAAACAAAATCAGCGAGAAAGAGAGGGAGAGCGCATGACAAAAAAAAACAAAAAACACACACTGGCACTAGTTTCGGTTTTATTTTTAAAATAATCGTTTATTATCTACGGTTTTTGTTGTGTTTGCTGGCACCACAAAAAAATCGGTTTTCTTTTTCTTTATATCTCACTTTCCGAAATACCACCCACACACACACACAGCAGCTGACGAAAGAGAATTGAGCAACACTGCACACACACACACTTGGAAACACATTCGCGTTACTGCGTTTCGCTTTCATTCGACTTTCTTAACCATTTGCACGTACTTTTTGCTTTCGTATGGCTCTCGGAAAATTCACTACTAATATTATGGTAATTGTTGTGACTTTTTACTTTATAATTTGCATCTTATTTGCTTAGCTGTGTAACCTAATGTTATGTTACGTTACTGACTGTAAACTGTTCTGTAAGAAAAGGTTAAAGTGGCCTGATAGAGCTGGAAGACATCAAGCATCGATATATTAGAAACTCGATGTCATCGATTTTATTTTATCTGCGGATCAAGTCCCCGCTAACTATCGATAACTTTGTAGTCTCCCATACCGGCTGGTGTATCTGCTAATAGCAATATTTTTCAGCCTGCAGAAGTGTTCGCTAACTATCGATAGGCGTGCGATCTTCGCTAGCGATGCTCAATGTAAAAACCACCCAAATTTTTTTATTTTATATTCACTTGATTCAGTCGGATGTTGCCCACAATAATAGCTCCGTTAGAAGTGAAAAACCTCAATTGTAAATTTGTTGTTTAAAATTTTTTATTTATATTTTAAAGGGGGGTATGGTTAATTCGGCCAAAAAAAGGCCTATTTTCATGCATTTTTTCACACGATACGGTTAATGTCAGATCAAATTTATAAGCATATTAAAGTACAACATTTAAACTATATTTTCACAAATTTGCATCGAAAAAAAAAATTAATGAGCCGTTCGCAGCCAAGCTCCGTAGGCGTAGGTTTTGCGGTGAACAACATAACTCGTTAGGGGATCATCAGAAAAACCAAAAAAAAAAATTTATTATTAGTTAAGATGTTTCTAAAGGTAACTACGTTGAGTTTTTTTTAAATTAATTTTTTGGATTTTTGGTAACACTTTAAAGTCAAAAACGTGATTTTAGCCAGAAAATTCGATATATTAATTATTATAAAATTAAAAATAATAGGTTAGCAAACAAAAACTCGACGTCAGTACCTGCGGATTTACGTACAGCAATTGTGTGCAAAATTCCAAAACGATTAGTCCAGTAGATTTTGGAGGATCGTGTTCACCGACTTTGAAATGACATCTTTTCAGGAGAGCGTTTTAATGTTTTGGACACCCAATAATCGCATACAAAACATACCTACTACCCATAACTTCGGATGTTTTACTCGGATCAATCTAAAATTTGAATGCAATATTCTTCAAATGTTTTGCATTCAGAAAAAAATTAAAATTAAATTAAAAAACAGGGCAAAAAAAATGTATATACCAAACCCCCCCTTAAGTAACGATGTCATAGCCAAAAACATCGATGTTAACCGGATGTTAAGTTACGTACCGACTGTAAACTTTGTTTATTTGATATCGATAGTATCGATCAATTTAACTAGTCAATTAGCAAGTCGATTCAAATTCGATTTCCAAAAGGAGAACTCGCTAACTGTGGAGGGTGCACTCGCTAAATGTAACCGTAAAATGTGGAGGAAGTACTCGCTAACTAGGAAATGTAAAGTATCACCGTTATTATTTGATATTAAGTATTGATACATTTCTTAATTTTTTTTTTTATCCCAAAAAAATAAAGTAATTTAATATTAAGTATTGATAGTTGTACGAATCTTAAGCCCCCCTTCAACCCGTTGAACATTCCACTTTAAAACCACATAGTTCTATTTTATTTTGCATACACACAAAAATGTCTTTATTGTTTCGCTTTTTTTGTTTTTAGTTGCTTTAAATCTCATTGTTGGTATACTTGTGTCTGGTTTTTGGAAATACATAGTTCTGCTCGTTTACTCGCTAAATCTATTTCGATTCGGTTCGGTTTCGGCTTGAATACATTGTGTTGTTATGAAACCAAATCACTTCGTTAAATACTGTCCAGTTTTTGGTCTTTTTGAAATGGTGTGGTTTTCGGGGCTTAACTGAAAAATAGGTTTTCCTTCGTTTCCTTTGTACTTTAGGGAAATGAGTTGTATTTTGTATTTGTATTTGTATTTGTTGTTAGCTTTGCGTTTACATTGTTTGGTTCCACGTAGTTAATGGCTTTGGTTTCGCTTTGTTAGCTTGGAATACATTAAATTCTGCCTTAGCACAATTACATATATAGTTTTCCTTTAGTTTATTATAGAATTCTTGTTTTAAACATTTATAAATATGCATTTATCGTTTAGTTAAGTTTAACATTTATTTATTCTCGGGTCTGTTTGGGCATTCTCATTGTTTTGTTTTCTTTTGTTTTATTTTGTTTTGGCTTAGTTAACTTGGGTTTTGAGTGGCCTTGACCCCTCTTTTGTGTACAACATTTAAAGCTTGACTATATGGTTTTGTTTTATCTGGATTTCTCAGTTTTAGTTGGGTTCCGGAAGTCGGGGGCCCATCTTCGGCCCCGCTACAATAAAATTTCGCTTATTGACGCAACATTTAACACCTAGGCTTTTTTGACAAGTTAATCCCATTTCACACGTGGAATTCGCGTTTCCTCGTTCCGTTAATGTTAATGGTAAAAAAATCTAAAAAAAAATGTATCGCCATTTTTTTTGTTTTTCTGTTTTTTGGTTCTCGCTAAAGCACACAATCTCCCCCTATATTATTATCATATATATATGCCTGACCAAATTCGATCGATATATAGGGGGCTTTGCAAGCCTGTGACTTGACTTTAGTGTGGCACAATCTCCTCCATCCACTCTCAATATATATTTAGATTAAAAATTAGGTCTGTTTTGGATGCTAGACACCTGGAAATACCCTGTATCCACCCAGTAAACGTTGGCGCTGCTCGAATGGATATGAAGTTTAAAGCTTTTGCACACCGAAAGTCCGGAGAGAAGGAGGTTCTATCTAAGCGATTCGATATTGGGTTTACAGGGTATTCTTTATAGTCGCCTACTCTCGACTATCACAAACATTCAAAGGGCTCAAGCTGTGGTTTTCTTAGGTTTCTCGAACTACTCGCAAACTTGTTGGCTATTTCAAAGATATTCGTTTCTCCGTTGGACATGAGTTAATTGTTTCAATAAGTTTCGATTTCGCTTTCGCTTTCGTTTAAAATTTAATCGTTAATATATATACAAAAAAAATAACGTTCAGTCAATTATAACTATATGTTTATACACATCGAAACGAACACGTAAAGAAACAACAATGAGGCCTAAACAAATTACATGACACACACATATCGCACTGTATTTGGTTTGCCTTTAGCAATTAGGTTTATCCCCTACATTTGCATCCTTACGTCAAGGACATCGACATTTCACCGCCTCGTCACCCCCCTCGCACCATGAGTTTGGTTAATTATTTAATACACATATGTTAATAATCAGTCGCATAAATGAATCACCTTGCTTTAGTTTCTTTTTTTCTTATTCCTCTGATTCTCGATTATCATTTACACGCGATTCTCGCCGGCAAATCAGTTATTTTAAATCATAGAACCCAAAACTATATAGTCGAGTTTTTTATGCCGACTATTTTTTAGTTCTCCCATTAATTAATTTAAGCCACTCATAGTGACTATTGTGATGAGAGCAGTACTGACACTGGCTAACTCTTTTAAATTTACTTTCAGCCACTAATCTTCATCTCCCTATTTAAATAATTAAAAAAATATTAAAGACCTCTAATAACTTAAAAAATGTTGAAGTAAACTAGCTTAACGATTTCAATCCTCTATAAATCATTTTGATCCTAGCTCTTATCAATTTTATGACAAACATCCGATTTAAAATCAATATATATTTGGTAAAAAGAGCAAAAATTTGATTTTTTAAAAATGTGTCTCTTATTTTTTTCCAAGGTAATTTCCTGTCAGTACTGATCTTAAAAAACTTAACCCATAAATACCTTTAGAGAATCAACACTTGCACACGAACAGACCTTTCCTATTTTCACTTTCTTTCCAAATTTGCGGAACTTAATTGTACTTTTTGTGGGATTTTTAGCTTTAAAATCAAATAAAATGCACATTTGTTAATTAAAGTGAGAACGTACACGTAAGAAAAAAAACCAGTATTAATTTAAATTAATGTGTATATGTTCATGTCAAGTGTAAAAAAAGCTCTTTTAATGATTTAAAAATCAATAAGAAAAACCTCAATGAACTTGAATTCACGTTTGCAGTGAAAAACAAAAAAAAATTGCTTTAACAATAGGAAACTAAGTAAATTTTTAATAAATTAAAATACATTTTTTGTGATTTAAAAACTGATATAAAATGGAAGACACCGCCGCAAATTCCGGAGGAAATTGAAAGTAGGAATGGGCCTGCACACTTTGGGACATACACACACGGAGGAGTCCTGGAGGAGGAGTCGGATTAGGATTCAGATTCGGAATCGAAGTCAGAATGAGAGACGGAATTGGAGACAGAGTAAGAGTCGGATTCGGAGTCGGAATAGGAATCGGAATCGATATCGGAGTGAGAATAGGAGTCGGAGTCCCCTAGTGCTGGAGGATGCGCGACTTCTGGGCGAGCACGGCCTCCGACTGGTGGAGCCGGCGCTTGCTGCTGTAGTTGCAGAGCTTGCCGGCGACCTTGCTCAATGTGGTGGCCGTGGAGGAGGTGATCAGGTCGAGCGACTGCAGCCGGTTGTCCAGTTCGTCGAGCGCCGACAGGGGGCGGTCGTCGTGGTGGCGGTCAGCAGGGTGGACAGATTGCTGCCGGGATCGCCGGACGGATCTGCATCCGGATCCGGGTTAGATGCGGGCCCAATGGCGTCGATGTCGCTGAGCTGATTGGCCAGCGGATCCTCGTCGTAAGGATCGTAGGGGGGTCTTAATTATTGCTTGAACACAAACAGACCCGTGGGGTCCCACTCGTTGTCGTCGACGGGGCCGAAGCACTCATCGAAGTACCACTCCATCGTCTTGTAGACGTGGCCCAGCGACCTGGCGATGGCGTGATCCTCGTCGGGGTACACCTGGTGCCGGAACTTCACCTGCTGCTCCACCAGTGCCCGCACCAGCATCAATGTGTGCTCCTGGTGCACCAGGGTGTCCGCGGTGCCGTGCATCAGCATCAGGTTGCGCCCCTTGATGTTGCCCGCCTTCATCGTGAGGTCCGCCTCCTGGAGAGCCCGCAAGTAGTCGCCCTTCAGCGGAATGTAGCGCTCCGTGAAGAAGGAATCTGCACGAAAGCAGGTCACATTAGTTGATGGCAAAATTTTAAAAGGATACATATATCTGTATTAAACTTATGTCTAAAACATTGTTCATCTTATATATTTATTTTCATAAATGTTTTGAAATCACTTAAAAGGCGTCTTAAAGTATCTATTTTAAGTCTAGTACAATTGATTCATTTCCAACAGCCACGTTCTATATTATTCTTTATACTTTTAGACATCTTTATTGATCATTTCAAAACCAACATTATTTTTGAGGCAACCCCAAATAACAAGAATCATAAAATCTTAAAAAAAACTTAAATAGCTGACATCTAAATTTCCGAGGTGAATTAGTTAAGGTTTCTAAGCATTTTGTATATTCATACGTCATTTTAGATTTTTAAACTTAATATTATGTTAAACAAATAAAAAAAAATTTCCTGAATATATAAATATTAAAAAAGCTTTTAAAAGTATTATAGAATTAAGTATATGGTATTTCTGTAAGTAATTCAAATTAGTTTCTAGAGGTACTTACAGTGGAATCCAAAGTTGACTATGGGATTGATGGCCACCGCGCACTGGAGCACCTGCTGCGAGTCGTCGATGAGCATCATGGAGGAGGCGTAGCCGCCGTAGCCCCAGCCAAAGGCGCAGATCCTCAGGGGATCGATGAACTTCAGGTTGTCCCGCAAGTATCTACAAAATGCATTCGATTAGATTGGCAAGTGTGTCAGATTTCATCCCATTTTCCTACGTCAGGACGCCCAGTTGATCCTCCACCTCGACGGTGCCCAGTTTTCCATGGACTTGGGTGCGGAGGAGTTCGCCCTGGAACCCACTGCCACGCCCATCGATCTGGGCCACGATGAAGCTCCGCTGGCTGGCCAAATACCAGTTCCAGTCCACGTGGAAGCGCTCTGTCACCAGCTGAGATCCTGGCGAGGCGTCACTGGGGGTTCAAGCAAAATACAACATAAATTAGATGTTCACCCATTAAAAGTTCTTAAATTCTTGAAGAAACTAATGATATTTTGCTCTCACATACATCCAATTTCAAAGTGGTATACTTCTAAATGATAGTGGTTTAATCCACTATAAATCTGCAATCATTCTAATTTTTTTTGAGATTATCGAAAAATGGATTTGCAGAAAAGTGACCTAAAGCCTACACTTTAAGGGCCAGAACTTTTCTCACAGAAATCTGATTTCGATAGTCCATAACTTTTCTATCTGAAGTCCGATTTTAAAATAGTATGTCTTAAAAGGATCGTGTGCTAATTACCTAAAAATCTGCATTCACACTTTGGTTTGTAATTTTGGATCGATTTTTCTCACATTTTGATGTTGATATCCGAAAAATGGCTTTGCAGAAAAGTGACCCAAAACCTGCACTTCTAAGTCCATAACTTTTCTATCTGTAGTCCGATTTTAAAATGGTATGTCTTAAAAGGATCGTGTGCTAATTACCTAAAAATCTGCATTCACACTTTGGTTTGTAATTTTGGATAGATTTTTCTCATATTTTGATGTTGTTACCCTTTCTAAATATCCGAAAAATGGCCTCAAACCTGCACTATTAAGCCCATAACTTTTCTCACATTAATCCGATTTCAAAGTGGCATATCTCTAAAAACTTGTGGTTTAATTCCCTTAAAATCTGCATTCAAAACTTGGTTTGTATTTTTTTTATAGATTTTTTGTAAAACTATTTAGATAGTCTTCTTTCTGTTGTCCTAAGGATGTACGGGTATGCATCAGGCATGGTGGTGACTTACACGTGCAGCACCAGTGGGAAGGCCACGTCCTCCTCCTCCCGCATTCCGGGTGGCAGGAAGAGGCGCACCTGGGCGTGGAAGCCATGTCGGATCTCCACGCTGAAGGTGCGCGACTGCGGAATGGCCAGCTGGGAGAGCCGGTGGCGCAGGACATCGCCGGCATTCAGCACGTAGATCTTGTCATTGCTGGCCGTCTCCACGAGGTAGACACTGGGTGCCTCGGGTCCGAGGCACTCCTGCACATAGTAGCTGTAGTCCTGGCTGAACTGCACCCGATTGTACAGGCAGTTCTTGGGTATATCGTAGAGGCAATCGTCTGGCTCCAGCCGAGCCACTATGTCCTCCCACCGATCGCCCCTCTGCGAGATCCTGGCCCGGTGCAGCCGATAGGTGGACTCGGTGTTGTCGCAGGTCAAACAGGTGGGCGATGTGGAGGTGATGTAGGTCCGGTTCGATTCGGTGACATTCAGCTTCAGGCTGATCTTGTACAGGTGCCTTTCGCCGGGCCTCTTCTCCGGCGCGGCCATGAAGTAGACGATCTCGTGCGGCTCATCCCATCCCACGATCTCGGTGACCTCGAAGCGGCCCATGGTCAATGGAACGGGTCGTCGGTCCAGCGAGGATATGAACACCACGTGCCGATAGTGACCGTGCTCGCCATCCCGCACGGGCAATCGCTTCAGCAGGTATCCGCCATTGCTGATCTCGTGCGTCGTCTGGCCAGCCATCTGTCCCGCGGTCACATTCACCTGGCTCTCCGGGAGCACCTCCTCCGCACCCGGGACGAGCTTGCCCGGCACCTGCCGCTGCACCTGGTTGCGGGCCGAGAAGATGGGTCGCTCCGCCGGCAGCACCCAGCCATCGTTGATGGTCACCTCCGTGTGCACCGAGTGGCAGTGGAAGTGCGGCGCCCGGCACAACACGGTGGTGGCCTTGGTCTGCTCCCGATTGGTCACCGTCACCGAGAGGTCGCCGGCCGAGGCCCAGGTCAGTCCGCCCACATAGCTCCCGTTGGCCAGCTCGCTGGGCAGCTTGATCTGCGTGGGGAATATGTACTTGATCACCGACAGGTTCACCACGTTCACCGTCACGTTCGGATTGCGGGAGCCCGTCTTCGGGTAGCGCTGGCTCATCACCGACGGATACTTGATGTCGTCGCCCATCCAAGTGTACCTGAAAATTTCACAAAAATAGAACTCATTAAAATATATGATACAAATGGGTGCATATTATTAGGTACAATATTTTCCTACTCTGTTAACGCAACAATTTATAAGACTAATAACTACCTACTTTAGCAAATAGAGCTGTAAATAATCATATGTACATATATATCTATATATTTGTATATACAGGATTTTTGTTTATATATTGACGCTCAAAATATGCCAGAAATTGGTAAATACAAATTGGCATTGGTATGCCGCCGTTCGTTCCAACTAATTCTTTTTGGGCTGGCACACGGGGCGTATACGTGGCATTATTTAAGTGCAAATGAACGGAGTTGTTGTTGTTGCTCTTGCTATATAGGATTTTTGTTTGCCATTATTATTGTTTGTTTTTCCATTAACAAAATCAAGTATTTAAAATGCTTCCTATTTAAATTAAAATTATGGCAAAGGAACCTAAACAGTTGGCGTTTCCTTTGAATATTTTTATAAGATTTAGTTTTATTTTGGGTATTCCTATTTTGGCCTTTGACCTTTGACCCTAGTATTCTCTTCTATGTTATATTTATTATATTTAATGACTCACTTGTACTCGTTGACCTCGCTGTCATTGTAGCTGAGAAAGGCCAAATAGAGTCCGTCCGGCGAGAACTCCATGCTGCTCCTCCGGCTCTCGAGCTCTGGAACATTTTCGTAGGTCCAATCGGGGACACCATTGAAGACCACGCCACCCAGGGACTCTCCCTCCGGCGATCCCGATCCCGACCCCGTCTGCGTTATCCGGCAGACGAGTTCGCCCTGCACTTTGGGCTTGTAGTATATGTCGTTGTGATGGACAAAGGCGATGGCCTGGTTCAATGTGTGCCCAGTGGCCTTGCCATTGGGATTGGGATTGGGATTGGCGGCGTTGGAGCCGGGGGATCCCGTCGATCCTGGCCCATTGGCCGCCCCCGCCAGGCTGTTCAGGATTATGCTGCCGCTGGGCAGAGGAGCCATCGTGGTGGTGGCACCATTGGCACCACTGGGTGGTGGAGCGGCCAGCGGTGGTGGCGGATTCACCGGCGCCCACACCACATGTTGGAGGCGTGGCGCCTCCGCTATATTCTCCGTTGGTCCCAGCGGAAATGTGTTGGCCGTCTGCACCTCGTATACGTGATGTCTGTTTGAAATGAGAGGCGGAAAGTAATTTCATTATATCATATTCGTGCTTCCAGTGCATCTGATAAATATTTCATTTGATTTTGAACAAACAACGCAATTAAAATGTTCGTGTTTTCCTTGCTAGTTGAATTATTTAACAAATTTAATAAAACAAATAATAAATAATTCAATGTATGTATTGAATTTAATTAGATTTACTATTATAGAACAATTTCTGAAAATGCAATATGCAAAAATCAATTAAATCACATAAGAAATAACCAATTAAATATGGGCCAACCTTTAAAAATAATTTAGCCTAATTTATAGTAAAGTTAGATATTATAACACAAAGGAAAACAAGAGAAATTGAATCATCAATCACAATTAAGGAATAATTGATAACTTGATAATCAATAACCTAAAGATATTTGGTTTTTGGATTAAGATTTCAATAATTGCTTGAACAGTGTACACATTTCGCTGGTTTCCCATTTATTTAATTTGAAATTGAACGTTTTAGTATGATTAAGGGCCCAATGGGTATTGGGTAACTCACCTGGAGCCCTCGGCATTGCTGTCCGATTGCAGGAGCACGTATTTTTGGTCAGGTGCCACAAGAAACGACTCCGCATTTAGTTGGCGCTGGCGAATGGACACATCAATCGATGGGGCATTAAACATATGTATATTAATGAAACTTACGAATGTGGAATTGGTCATAAGAATGCGTGTGGTGAGATCGGCCATATTGAGTATGGACAGGCCGCCCGTGGGATCGCGATAAATGAGCTCACGACCTGCGGAGTAAGTACATTGATTAATTGGGATGCATAGTTCGAGGTGATGACCTCACCATTGCTCCAGGTGCCGTTGAAGGGCTTCCACTGCAGACTCCTGCCCAGGATGTCGCTGGGCAGCATCCGGCGACCCCGGATCCTCAGGCCCTCATCCTCCGGCGACAGCAGGAAGATCGAGAATATGATCAGGCTGAAGACGGCGGCAATCACCAGCAGGGCGATGAAGATGCCACGCCAGTTGCGGCGCTCCGGAGAAATGGCCACCAGTTCCTGGAAAATCACCATAAGCAATTATCATTCAATACCGATATTATAATTTGATTTTTTACGATTAATCTATAAGAGCATAATAGCAAAAAAATGTAAGTTAAAAATTTAATTTTAGGATAATCAAATCAATTTGCACAGTTTAAATTAAGTTGCCTATTTCAATTATACTTCCAAGCCTTTAGTTAAAAATTGGAAAAAGATTTTTTTTTTATTATTTATTAAACAGTTTTCTAGAACATTATGTCATCTTGTCCAATAAAGAAGTAGATACACATGTATAATTTAATTCAACAATGTATAAAACATGTTCCACATAACATTGAGTTAAGTATTATATTTCGACCATCACAATAACATATAAATAGAACCACACAATATTTGGTTATCTGAAGGCCATTTACTCCAATTTCAAATTTCACATTTGCCCATTTCCCCTTTAATTGGTTAATTGCATTGGGCTGCGCCTAGTTTTCGGACCCCCTTCGTTTTAATTATACTAATGGTCTAACCACCAATAATACTCAAACAGTGAAAGTGAAGGTATCAAGGCTATGATTCAAGTGCGAGTCATTGGTTTCTGAATAAAATTTGTCCCTTGGTAATCACATATTTTAATAAATTTCTCTATTTTATTTTAATAAAATAAATAAAATTGGTTCCTTGGTAATCATATATAATATTTTAATAAATTTCTCTATTTTATATTAATTTGTATTTGTGAGAGACTATCTTAATTCATATATTGCATGTGGAGCACAAAGTGCCGCCCCTTTTCGCCCACTTAATCCCCCGCCCCCACTCAGTTTTCACTTAGCCAGGACTCGGATTTCTTATCGAAGGACTCTGAGCTGTGCATTTGGAGATGGTTTTGGTTTTGGTTTTGGTTTCGGTTCGCATTCGTATTTGTATTCCCGTTGCCGTTCGCCTTCCCCTTCGCATTTTGCAAATTCGATTCTGGCCGTAGTCCCCGAAGTGGTTTACACTCGCAATCAATGACATTGCTTGTGCTGAAATTGAATTAAAAATTGATATGCACTTCACTGTGGAGATGTGGAAATGGGAAATGGAAAATGGGAAATGGTAAATGAGGAAGAAAGGCGGACCTTCTCGGCTGACGTGTGAGTGCTAATTGAAATTAGTTTGCCGGGCTGCAGAACAAATGAAATTCGTTTGCCAAGGAGAAGCTTTGGCGAAAAGCAGAGATCGTTGCAGTTTTATTACCGACATGCATATATTTTTTTTTATTTTTTGTGGGTTGTTAAATCCATTTTATGTCTTGGAAAGTGCTTGCTTCACTTGACAACCTATCAAAAAGTTTTGAGCTGTGCGATTTCGTTATAGTTTAACCATCTTTATGGGGGGTCATCAAATCACTCAACTTTAACTCGATTTTCAATGCTCTCAACTTTATGACAGGTTTAATGGCACTTGTGTTTGAACATATAAATAAAGTATAATTTAAGCGGGTCAGTTACATTTTTGATGACCGTGAATTTAATAATTTGCATAATATTTTCTGATTGCTGATATTTATTTATTTTCACATTAAAAAAAAGGAAACCTGCTCTGATGAAATAAAATAAACTCATTATGTGACCTATTTAATTATACATTAATTAGCTGTTCAATGGAAAACGCCATCGTATTAAACTGATTACATATCCGCCAGCAAATATTGGACATATTTCATATATTTACATTAAAACAATTAATGGAGCTTTTAAACAAACATCAAGGCAATTCGCAATAACCATGGGCCAAAGTTAAAATGACATGTGCACCAGTTTAACCGGATACATGGCAAGAACGGGCAAATTAATTGCCAAAGTGGAAACAGGATGCGGAAAAGGAAAACTCGGGGAAAGCCACAGAGAAAACTCTCAACAAAGCGGGACAACGTCAATTTATGGCCACAAAAAAGGGAGAGACAATGGCGAATTGTCTGGCATTTGATGGCGTCCAATTGTCCTTCGTCCTGCGTCCTTTTTTATTGCCAAACTGCCTTGTGGCTGGGCCGTTGATGTTCCTTCATTAGCTTTTAATGTGAGCCTGGCCATAAAAAGGTGTGACAATTGTCGGTGCCAACACAATGGTAGTGGGCGAAAAATAAATAAGGATCAGCTAATGGCAGTCGACTGGCAGCATACTCTGTAGTTACTATTACTATTACTTTTACTATTATTTTAAGACATTTCTAAGTTTTTGAGAATCTAACATTAATTCGTTGGCGTTCATTATTAATTTTTAAATTTTTTAGCATTTTAGCAGCTTTAATTCGAGCTGGATTATCAATTACTAATAATAAATTTACAATTACTTTTGGAATACAACTTTTATATTGTAATTGCCTAACGAAATATGCATATTTTATATATTGACGCTCCAAATATGCCAGAAATAGGTAAATACAAATTGGCATTGGTATGCCAGCGTATGCCGTACGTTCCAACTAATTGTTTTTTGGGCTGGCGCACGGGGCGTATACGTGGCAAAGAGTACGCATTATTTATGTGCAAATGAAGGGAGTTGTTGTTGTTGTTGCTCTTGTTGGCCCATTGTCGTCATATCGGCTTTGTTGTTGGGCCTTGGGCAAGACGCCAAATGCAGGCGCTTTGCGAATGCGTTCACAGCTCATTAAATGTCCATTGGTGGAAAGTGCGGGGATGTGCCCGCCTCATCCGCCGTATTATCGATTCGAGAGCTGCATTTGCATTTTGGATTCCGTACTCCGTATTCCGTATTCCTCAATCCTCATTCCGGATTTCCGATTCCGGATCCCGGTGCCTGGATTCAGGCTGCGGCTTCGCGCACTTCCCGTAATTTTCTGTGATTACATCTTGAGATGTCTTTCAATTGTTCAATGCATCGAAAAAAATAATTACAACAAACTTGCTTCTCTTATCTTAACATTTTATAATACTAAGCTAAAACTTTACCATAACGAGTGAAAGTATACTATATGTTAAGTGAATTTAAAAAAAAAACATAAGAATAAAGTAAGTTTTGTTTAAAGATTACCTATTCTTGTATTAAAGTTGTTTATTTTACTACTCACGAAGAAAAACTTGTATTTTCTTTTTTAAACACTCTTTGCGGGTATTTTTCTTTGTGTTTCCAATTTCCCCAATATAAACATAAAATTTCAATTGAGTTATACAACTTGACACTGCCAGAAAAGAATGGTACTTGCCTTCGAGTGAGATTAATAATAAGCTGAGCACCAGCAAAATCGCCATGATTAAAAAACTACTTTAATGGAACTTCAACTATCCACTGCAGAACACCGTTTTTCACTTTGCGATGAATTAAAAAATAACTTGTGCTAAAAAAAATGAGTACGTGCAAAAACTTCATGATTGAATAACACAAGCAAACTTTAAACTCTTTTAATGGGACTTTAACTATCCGGGTTTCAATTGCAGAAGAGAATTTCTATCCTTTGTGCTTGGGAAAAAAAGAATAATACTTTTTTGCCCATTTCAATGGGGTGTTTGTTTGTTTTTTTTTTTTTTTCGTTATTTTTGCTCCATTAAACTGCAACCAAAGCCGACAGCTGACAAAGCCATGTTCAAATTGGGTGGATTGGACTGGGGTTTTGGTGTGGGTTAGGATGCATCTTTTATGGGCTGCCACTCCCGAGAAGATGCCACTGACAAGTGCATATGCTTGAGGAGGATACTTTGTTATTGTTGATTTTACCTTCACGTTTCCGTGAGTGTTTGCGTTTGTGTTTGTGTTTGCTTTTGCGGTCGGACCACAAAGGTTTGTTTTCCACATATCCATGTCCGTAGCCCCGTATCCTGGCCATCCTTGATTGCATTTTCCGACTTGGTCTTCGGATGCCTTGCTCTGCAGTGGATAGATAACTCACTTGCAGGATTACTCTGCAAGCTTCGTTTCTTCTCCCCCAAAAAAAAAAAAAACATTTTTTATTTTCCTGTGGCAAATAATTATCCAGCACAAAGGATGTTCGATCAACAACAGAAGCAGTGATGAAAAAAAGATGATGACGTTAAAAAGGATATAAGTGCCACTCCAAAGAGCGATGGAAAAAACAATGTGTGCCTAAGGAAGTAAATAAAGTAAGGTAAACTAATTAAAACAATGAAGCACAAACAATTAAAAAACATTAAATTCAAAGCATAAAAAAAAACAAATAAATAATGAGATAAGTTAAACTTAATACAAAATGTGTTCACATAGTTTGTATAGTAATGCTTGCTAAATATTTCAATGGAATCATAAAAACTATTTTATATAATTTCATTCTTTAACAGCAGAAACCTATTTTTGAAATATTTTGATGGGTAAAAGTTGCTGAATATTTTAGTGCAACTATAAAGAGACTTTTATAGTGTTTGTGTCCTTCCTCAAAAATGCATGTGTGTGAGACTTTGTAGCGGTTGTCCCAGCTGCATTTTATGGCCCACCATAAACATTTTCCACCGAACCCACAAAAAACCGACGAAAGAGCAGAAATTTGAGTATGCTGCATTTGAGGGCCTTTAATTCTCCGGCTGTCCGCCCGTCGTCAAGTGCTTAATTGGATTTCCCGAGGCTGTCCAAGAACAATGACGAATATGTGGCGACAATGGCGATTGCTCCATTTCCGTCGGCAGCTGCTGCCCGACGATAAGATTCGCGGTCACTTAATGGAATTATAAACCCTTCCACAAAGTGGCGTATTTGAGATTTGGTGAGTAATAATGTATATGATATTATAATATTTCATACTCCTTTTATTTATAACCTTCTGTTTATTATTGAAGTGTATGCAAAACAAAAACAAAAAAACAAGAAAGGAAAGCTAACTTCGGGCGGAGCCGAAGTTGATATACCCTTGCAGAATACTCTGTAAATTATATTCTCCAAAATTATTCAAATGATGCATTCTTAATACTCATAAAAAATCCCAACTTCCTAACTTTAACAACACCAAAGTTATGACATTTCCAATCGTTCAGTTATATGGCAGCTATAGGATATAGTCGGCCGATCCTTATGAAATTTGGTAGGTCGGATTGGCTGGCCAAATATAACACCCATAGAAAATGCCAACTTCCTAACTTTACAAACACCAAAGTTATGGCATTTCCGATCAATCAGTTATATGGCAGCTATAGGATATAGTCGGCCGATCCTTATGAAATTCGGCATGTCGGATTGATTAGCCAAATATAAAACCCATAGAAAATCCCAACATTCTAACTTTACAAACACCAAAGTTATGGCATTTCCGATCAATCAGTTATATGGCAGCTATAGGATATAGTCGGCCGATCCTTATGAAATTCGGCATGTCGGATTGATTAGCCAAATTCAAAACCCATAGAAAATCCCAACTTCCTAACTTTACAAACACCAAAGTTATGGCATTTCCGATCGTTCAGTTATATGGCAGCTATAGGATATAGTCGGCCGATCCCGGCCGTTCCGACTTATATACTGCGTGCAAAGGAAAGAAGGGTGTGTGCAAAGTTTCAATTCGATATCTTTAAAACTGAGAGACTAGTTCGCGTAGAAACAGACAGACGGACAGACAGACGGACAGACAGACGGACAGACGGACAGACGGACATGGCTATATCAACTCAGGAGGTGATCCTGATCAAGAATATATATACTTTATAGGGTCGGAGATGTCTCCTTCACTGCGTTGCACACTTTTGACCAAAATTATAATACCCTCTGCAAGGGTATAAAAAAATATTTGGTTAACAAGGGAATTAAAAAGGATTGGATAATGAATGGCCCCAGAAAGTATGCTATGTAATAGCCAAATTTATTTTATTTTTTTATTTTTATTTTTGTAAATATTTCCATATTAAACGAAATATAATTTGTAGTTTTCAAACTTATCAGTTGAATTAAAAGCCCTAATTTTTTGTCACTTATTTGATTAATGATTAGTTATTTGGTTATTTATTTGGTACCGAATTGAACAATCAATTTTATTAAAAGCTTTAAACACCTTTGTTTAGATTAAGAGTTGATACGTATTGCCAGTTAGCATAGACCTTATTTTTATTTTTTAAATGACTACAGTTGATTCTCCCTGTTAAATGACTTATGCTTTTGCAAATCAAGTTCGATACATTTTTTGTTTTAACTTTCCTAATCGCGATAACATTTAACATAGTCTTTCGTAGAGTCACAAAGCTGTAAATACTTATCGAAATGTTTACTTCAAAATGCATTATCTCCTGCCACACAATGTGGCTCCTCGAAGGCTTGAAAGTTCGCACTCAATCTCAATATTAATCGACTTCTAAGGCGGACAGGCAACACCAACGAATCCGAGGCCTTGAGCAGGCGTTGATCCATACTTTTCGGCTGTCAGCGCTCAACTAACTGTCGGCTTTTAATTAGAAATTGCACAGAAAAAAGTTATAGCCCCAGGCTGAAGAAGAAGCAGAATAGGCGCAAATATTACGCAAACCAGTAGATATAGAAAAGCGCGGTGGGGAAATGGGAAATGGGGTGAATAAAGACAGGGAAGCATTCCAAAATGGGTCCCGTGAGGACCGTCGGAAAAAAATCATTTGCAACATTGAAGGCAAAAGCGGAGAATGTTGGAATGTTACACACAACAAAAATGTGTATCAAAAATATAATAAAAATAGCTGAGATCCCTAATGGTTTTATTTTATTAATTATATAAAATAGCTAAAAGGAGAACTTCGCTTGAATACCATTTTATTGGTGGATGCACAATTAGTATACATTTTCTGTATCTTAAAAACAAATTTCTTAAAATTGTAAGTAGATTGATTTTTTAAAAATAAGAAAATTCATTATCGTATTATTAATAAAACGCGTAATTGCTTGAGGTAAATTTTGTGCAGTGCACTAGGAGAAATATAGAAAGAGAGGGAGAAAGGTACACAAAGTTTTTACTGCCCACACACACACATGCAGCGAAAACTTATGTCATTATGATGGACATTGGGTCCTTTGGCTCATTTGTACGGTGTCCATTGCCACCCATTCGCTACCCACATTTCCCTCATGCGTGGCTGACAATTATTAATGAAAGGGTGAAAACTCTAACCATCCAGAGCCCAGACTCTATCCTTATCGCCACTTTTGCACGGCATGCAAAATTTATTGTCTACTTTTATTTATTGATCCAAGTTTGCTCTGCCTTTCACTTTGGCCATCGCCAACGCCTTATCTCGGCCACAAATTGCAGCAAAACTTCACGGTAACGGGGAAAAGTTGGGAAACTCTTTGGGTTGCCGAAGAAAAACATATGTCAGAATAAGGATCGAAGTTGGGGAAAGGCATCGTTAAATTGCAAAGATTGTTTATCATGAAAAATGTCTTTGATATTTTCATAATCTTTTCATAAATCTTCTTATATAGTCCAGTCGTACTATCTTTATTATAATTTATAAGAAGATTGAATGGATTTAATACTCACAAAAGTATTCAATGAAATAATTTTTTGGAAATATAAATTAAGCAATACTTTTCAAATTACAGGGCCCAAATTGCTTATAACAATGCAATCGATTCTTGTTTTCACGTTTGAATTAATACAAAAGCTAAAGTTATATGTTACACAAAAACTATAAAGAGTAAACAGAAAATAAACTTTTAAATTAATGTGACAATTAAGAAATTGATTACTTATTTGTAAGAAATAAATATTTTAAAGTTTTTGATATTAATATTATATTGGTATTAATTCTAGCATGTTGTGTAATAAAAAGATTTGTTTATTAACGCATTAATTTTACATTAAAATGTACTTTAAAAGGCCTCTTTTCGAAAACCATTATTCAAACGGGTAATATTCAAATTTTAACAACCCAGTCACATTTCACAAATGAGGATAATTAAAAGCGAATCAGGGGAAGCAAGCCCGCCCTTAACCCGCTGAGCCCCTTAACCCACTACACACCCGTAATCAGCTTCTGAAAAACTTTTTCCCCCATTTGTCGCCAGGCGAAAAGTTTGTCAGCTTAAAACGAGTTTGACAACTGGAGAAAGGGAGAAAAACTGAATCAGTGGAACAAATTTAATTTTGAGGGGCTAAATCTGAGGGGAACTGCTCAATTATTTGCTCAGCGCTATAAATTTTATTTGTGTTTTATTTTATTAATTTATGTCCGCTACTTCCGACTCAAAAAAATAAGGTAATAAAGGGCAGGAAAACGACATCACGGGCCACTTATTTATGGCCAAAGATTTGCCGGAAAATGATTGGGAAAATGGAGGGGGAAAACGTTGAAAATCCAGGAGGCGGCTGCTTTTGATGGCATTGCCGCAGGACTCTCGATTTGGCAATCGATATGGCAAATCGAGTTTGTATTTTATTTATAGCCAGACCCGAAATAATGAAATGCCAATCGAAAGACTGGCCCACTCCCCACTCAATTACCCGCTCTTAAACTCCAGTGTATAATTCCGAAATTTATAAACTGTGAAATCTGAGGGAAGCGGCTGTTGTTTTTGTTTTATTTATGAATTTTGCCACAACAAAAAAAGGGATCAAGGACCAAGGACTCTATATCAGCGGCGCGTCTGAAAGCAATTAAATGAGCCTAGAAAAAGGAAGCCACTTAATCCCTTCCATTTGTGTCCAGGTCCTCCCCATTTCCCAAAGCTCTCGAAGACACAGACAAAGACAAAGACAAGGGCATTTGCATACTTAATTAACTTGGCTAAAATATTCCAGGACCGTGAACGACTTTGGTGTCGAATGTAACCAAAAAATATGGCTCAAGTGTTGACACAAAATTGGATTTGCTTCTGAGACATTATGATCTTAGATCGAATTATTCCTAAGAAATTAGCAACTTGCTGCTTTTAGATATTTAATTACATAAGAATGTTGGTTAAAATAAAAACATTTCATTTTTAATGGAATTACATTAAAAAGCATTTATAGGTTTTATAACTATTATATACAAATATATTTGTCCATCCTGCTGTCAATTTATCTAACAACACATATTATTTGAGCAATAAAGCAATAAATATCACACAATTAATCTATTAATTTGCCAGAAATATGTTCTTTTCCAACCTGAAATCAAATTAGCCGGAAAACCTCTCTGTTTCTCACCTCGTCCTTGGGCACCAAAGTCACCTTTTTGATGGTCGGCGCACTGTTGTTAACAACGACCGTTTCCCGTATAACTGATGGTCTTTTTAGGGCCGAGTGCGGCTTTTGTATCTCCACCATGATGAAGCTGCCGCCGATTATTATTATTTTCACACGGATTATGGTTGAGAGATGGGCGATGAGATGATGCGATGAGATTAGATGGCGATGAGGTGGCTTATTAGTTTGACGGCCGAAAGTTACTTAGCCCATGAGAACCGGGCAAATTGTTGCCAGTTCCAAGACGAAATACCCTCGCCTTTTTACCATGATTTCGGCTAAGGGCACAGCTTCTTCAACTGCTGCTGTTGCTTTTGCTTTTGCTTTAGCTGTAGCCGAGTCAAACGGCTCATTAATCAAATAGAAATGGCCATTATAGCATGCATTAGGTGAACACTGGCAGAAATTATAAGATCTCCTAGAAAGGACCGTAAAAATGTGCTGCCAAGATATTATATAGTAGGTACTCATGGAATAAAACATTTTAAGCATTCATCCATACATCCATTTGTAATTCATATTTATTTATTGTTGAAATTTAATTAAGTGACCAATTATCTTACTTGTGAGAAGTTGTAACTTGGGTATTAACATATATATATCAAGATAGCTAATTGAAACTAAAACGAAAAATTTAGTTTCACATGATTGTAAACAACACAATATATACAAAACATATCTTTATTATTTTTGACTTTTTGAGTAAAGGAAATCATTAAATACTTTCTAACTGCTTTTCAGGTGTTCTCAGTGATTTACAATCCGTTTTTGTCAGTGCACTGCCTGCCGGATTTTTGGGCCTTGACTTTTGGTTTTTTGGACACACATACGCCATGTTGTACGCCGGGCATTATCTAAATTAGAGATGTGCGTCGTAAAGATTTTCCCTCTCATTTTCCCAAGATTTTTCCCGCCTAATGCCGTTCTTTGTGTGCGTGTCTGTTGGTGCGTCTTTTAATGAGCTGTTTATGCAATCATCAGCCTCGAAACCTTGGCGGCTTTTGGGGCAATAAATTCTGGCGCCCTTTCCTCCCCAAAATAATAAATTTGCATAATCGCGGCGATGTCAAGCGACTTAACCTGAACGCGTCCGCATAATGCGACCGACGCGTCGTCATGATTCTAATGATGTGCTATCCCGTAACTTTAAGCTGTTGATTCAATTTGCCGGCAGTGTTTGGTGCCAGATAAACGACTTAGTCGCAGAATCCTAAAAAATGCTAAAAATTGAATTACTGAGAGGGGAAATGCGCACATGTTTGGTGGGTAAATCTAAGCTGAAACTGCGGGCATAAAAATGGAAAAACTTCAGCACCGCCAGCTGTTCGTTGGGGGGGAAAAAGTTTTGGTCAAGGAAAAACTTGGGCCGCATTTGCAATTTACATATTGTTCGGCAATGGAAAGGCGGTCGAGTGGGCAGGGGCCTATGCAAATGTTTGGGCCAGCGTACAACGTTGCGTATGATTGATGTGGCTGGTCAGTTGCTTACATAGGTCTCCCCCCTTTTCCCTTTTGTTTCCGCCCGCCCCCAATTTCTTCTTTCTTCGCCTTTACTGGCAATCAATTTGGTTTCTGTGGCTCTCAATTTAAACCCCTTTCCTTTGGCCTTGAACAATCTTGTTGAATTTTCACCAGCTTACGACTTTTCGGGGTGGTATACAAACAGGAAACTATTTGGCAAACCGGGGCGAGGCGGTATTCTTAGTAAACCCAGAAAGTTTCCGCTTGTAAAATGAGAAAATATAATTTTAGCAAGTATTCTTCAGCGGAAATTCGGTCAGGTCGGCAAGTTGCTAAAGGTTAAATACTTTCTGTCAAGGAGTCAAATATTTCTCAATTATTTTAACCAGTAGTGTTGGGAATAATTGAAGCTTAACTACACAACCTCTGTTAAACAGAATTTAAAGTGGTCATGGTATTTACGAGCTATGCGTTTATTAAAAAATTCAAATGTTTTGATGCCTACAAAATCTTAATAACTTAAATGAAAATGTTGGATTATTTGTTATCATAACCCCTTCCCGATTGTGCAACCGATTTTATTTCTCTGCTAGTGATTAAAAAAACTTGATTTCAAGCAATTTGTTTCGAAACTTTAAGACTGTTTGATTTTCTATAACATATTTATGCAAAAATAGTTTCCCAGGCCATTGGGAACCGTTTAAACTATTGAAAGGCAGGACATGTTAAACATGTTTTCTCCGTCAAAAGTGCATTGCGAAATTGAGATAATAGTCTGAGCGTCGTATTATCCTCGAGCCATCTGCCTGTCCTATCGGCGGCCAATCTGTGGTTTGGTACTCGGCACCCACCGAAGCACTGGCATACATCAATGCCAAACACACACTCCCACGGACAGGTTCTGAAGCTGTGTGCAAACAGAGAACATGGCCAAAAGGAGGGCTGCCAGAGGGCCAAGATGGAAAAAAGAAAACGGCAAAGGCAGCAAAATATACAGCTCTCGGCTTAAGGTTGGACAAACTTTTTGTCTTCTCTGGGCCGCATAAATAAGGCGTGCATGGTGTCAGTGTATGGTGTCAGTGTTAGAATGTACCATATAGTATACAGGGTATCCGGGTATCCGGCGGATGCATTATAAACAGCTGCTGCAGTCGGACGATTTGAGCCCGGACATTGACACACTTTGCCCAGTTCAGTTTGTCAGCTGTTTGTTTGCATTCTGCTCGCCATTCAGCAGGAAATTAAAAACGTCATCATGGATTTATGTGGCTAACACGCATCGAAAAAATACCATTTTTCCAACTAATAATATTTTACACTTAAGAAAATCTATTCTAACTAATCTTTTAATAAGTCATATATTATGTTGAAATTATAAGTATACTTTTTTTTTTCTGCGTCGTTTTGTGACGTATTTCAGTTGAGTTGCATTATTATTTTATTTAAATTTGTAAATTTGTATAAAAATATATATATATATATGTCATTTTCAATATGAAATTATAATATGTAACTTTCTGGCTATAATTTTGGATTTTTTGATACAAATCAAATTGTAATACGTTTAGCTGTTGCCCATTTTGACAGCACAAAACGATTTTGTTGGCATTTATTTATGAATATGCCGTCGAAGACATGAAAAATGGTTCAAACGGGAATACTTTTTTAATAAAGCGTTAGTAAGTCCACGGAACATGTACAAATAGTTATTGGAATTGTTTCCCTGTGCACTTGTGTTGTTAAACTTTAAAAACTAAGGACTTCAAGACATATATTTCAGAAAAAAAAAAATATAAATAATAAATAAATAAAAATAATAATGGAATTATAAACATTCTCGATTTTTTAATATTTAAATTTCACACGGTACACATAAAAATCAAGAGTACTTTAAAATTCTTTTTTATTAATTTGTTAAATAATTGGCATAGTTTTTTTCAGTGCACCTCACAATGGCTATTCATTTGTTGTCTTTTGCTCATTTTTCTCTTTTTCTGTGTAGATTGTTTTGCTTTCATTGAGTAAGTAAAACAGAGGAGGATAATTCAAGGGAGGTGGGGGTTAAATGGCGTAAGACACATATGCAAAAACACACACACACAGCAGCAGCAAACAACAACAACAGCAGCTGTTCTTTCCAATTTCTTTTGCAGTTTTTAAAGGAACTTTCCCCGCATTTCCCACCTTTTATGGATGATTTCTTGTCACAATTTATTCTCAATTTTTTTGCGGCAATGTTCTTTGAGTTAATTACATTTTCCTCGGCTGCACTGTCCGAAATAATGGCCACCAGAAATAATAATAACAATAATAACGAGACAAAGGGAGAGAGTCGAGGTGAGAGAGAGAGAGACGAACGCGAGAGAGCGAACGCTTCCGTGCGGAAGTCAAACGACGACTGAAAGTGAAAATGAAACTGAATCCCAAAAACTCAATGGCGGAGCGAAACAAACGGTAAATTCCGTCGACCATTTCTCTGCTGCGTCTGCGTGTGTGTGTCCTGCCTGCATTTGTGTGTGTGTGTGTGTGTGAGTTGATGGAGTTCCCCGACGGTGTTGAGTGTTTCATAGTGTGCGTTAAATGGGGCCGGGCGTACGCCATTGTTGTTATTGTTTACGTTTTATCAACGCACACAAACACACTAACACTCAAGCTGAATTTGGGCGCCAAAAAGATATTGCCCCCAAAAAACAGCTGATCGATTGGTAGAGCTTTTATTGTCCTGGCTAAGCTTTACTGAAAAAAAGGGTGAACTTTCCAAAATAAAGTTTAGCCAAGGCTTAAACTTTAATAACGTCTTTTTACCGTTTTTTTTCATTACAACCAAGTCTTTTTTGTGTCGTTTTCTTAAATTTTCAGATGGTTCTCTCAGATGGATAACTCAAATTTTATTTTGCTTACCCAAGTTCAGTCAACAATTTTCGTTATTAAAATCAAGTATGAATTAATTGTTTAATTTAATTTTAAAAAAGAAACCACATTTTTTGGAATATTATTAAAAGCTTAGCTTTATTTTGTAAGAAAAAAGTTGTTTTTTATCTATTTAAATTAGGACAATAAACAAAACCGTAAAAGCTCAAACAACCAAACTTTAATTCCAAAAAAGACCATGTTTCTCGGACTCTAAAAACTTGAAAGCTTAGAAAAGTTACAAAAGTCCTGCAAAATAATCTCGGTTCTTTCCAAAGCTATTTAAGCCTCTGGCCGATAAAGTTTTTCTTCACGGAAAGCTCTGCAAATCCTTTTTTCTATCTCCCCCAAAACTTTTCATAAAGCGTGGACCTTAAGCCACACAATCCACTCGCGAGCTTTTAACAGTTTTTGGGGTTATTCTCCATTTTTGAATATTACCCCAAGAAGTTTTGACCGCAGAGAAATTAATGCTGCACTGGCAGGGCAATGTTGGATGTCCTTAACGCTTGAGTGCCAAAATTGAAGGCGGATGGGCGGCGGTTTGTGTGGCTTAAACTGCTTACGCAGCTGAAAGCATGCTGACTTGAGTACTTTTCAATTCGCCGCATATGTCAAATGCAGGACTCGAAAACCGCACGAAAGCCACAAGGACAATCCGCTGACACAGAAGGGGGATATGTGGGGGCGGGATAAGCCAGAGATAGGAGTCAGTCGGGCATGATGTAAAGCCATTCTGAACACATAAGCCAATCCAAATCGGGGCTCACCTCAATCGACTGTCAGTCCCAAGAACTCGATTAACATTTATTTTCCTTTTTCCCCATATTTTTTCTTTATTCCTGCGTCGCATTGGTGTGGAAACGTTGCAAAATTAATGCGATATCCAATGCGATTACAGATGTGACAACAACACGGTGAAGGCCCCAGAATAGCATCGGTTGTACAACAAGAAATGGGAGCCACAACAAGTGTTACAAACACTTGAAGTTGGTTTGCCTCAAAGTTGATTTACAATAATCGCCATCGACAAGCGAAATGGCAACAAATAACAGAT